GAGTTCAAGATCCATAGAGCCTCTCCCCAACTCGTCTGTTTGGCTTAACTTTTATTCAGGTTTTTTGGCCACACACGCAAATTAGCGATAGTTTTAAAAGTACTTGAACCATGCATGTGCTTTACCTAAATTGCAAATGACTGCTCTGATCAGGCAGGTAAGACATCATGCCCTCTTTGCCAAGGGGGTAGGTTAGAATTCCTTGGTCCTATTTTACCACAAAAATGACAGAAAAAAATGAAGGGTTAATTTGTCAATGCTAAAATCTTGTTAATTGGTTAAGCAATTTGATTTGAGTTGGTTTAACACATTTGACAATTTCATTTATTTATATTGGCATCTCCTTTGACTCACAAGGGTTGTGGCAAAAGTCTAATACATTACATGTGTTTCTTACATTTGAGTAGCACTGCACAGCATCCTACACATGTGCACATACAGGTGTACACGCACAAAGAAAATCAACTTAACAGATTATTTTTTTAATGTGATATAAAAATGACGAGAAAAGTGGCAGACAATTGCTGTTACCTCCTGATAAGTGGACTGAACGATTACAAGGTTCGTCTACAAAACTATGGAATCTGGGTGTTGAATACATCAGCAATCACCTTAATGACAAATTTCATATTTGTAAAAAAATTATCAAAATATGTTAACCAACTATAGTCCAATATTTATTATTTACTATTTTATATATAACTATGAAAATATATTTAATCTAATAGTGTTTAACATCTTTGCTGTCATTTCTCAAGAATAAAGAAAATGTATAAATCCACTTTCATTTTCTGAAAATCAGCTGACAAGTTTTATATTTGTATTTTTCATATATATATATACTAAAATCTGCAGCACCCCTTGTTCATACTAACATAACAAATTTAGTCTGATGAAGTCCTAAAGAACAAAACACATCAAAATTAAACTTCTCTTTTTATATATATATATATATATATATATATAAAATGTTGTTTTTGACATTTTCTTTGCAAAAGCTGGTCTGCCAAACCCACAGAATAGTTTGGTCGTTGATAGATTTAAACATCAGTGTGATGCTGACTACATAGGGTGGACCAATCAGCACCTTAAAATGTTGATTGCACATGTTCCTGTTAATGTTAGAGTATTGTTACCTGTAATATACGTCTGATGCAGGATTCTGCAATGGGCTGGCACCTTTCAGACAATCCAGATTGTACTGATAAATATACAGATTCAACATTTAGCATTTTGGGCAAAGCACAGTCGGCAAAACATCTGAATATTTTAATGGCAAATTACACTAACCTTCTCGGCATTGACAGAGAAATTTGTCCATTCTCTTTCTTTACTCGGAGGCTTGTGAGTCCTGATTTTTTTTTTTTTTTTATCCTCACTGGAATTATTTATTCTGGCTTTTGCCATTCCCACTCCCCCTTTTTTCTCTCCCATTTCAATAATAAATCTTAGTTTAGTTGCTGTTCTTCATTTCCTCCAAGGCCGTCGCTTTGCGAAATTTTGTAATATTCTAAGGTAGCAATGATTCTTTTGATCAGGCATTGGCCAAAAAGGTTACCTTAAAAGAAAATATGCAGTTTGGTTTGTTAAAAACAATTTACAAGTTCTGTGGTATCAAACTTGTTTAAACACACACATCTCCAAAGAAGGATCTGCAATGTAATCAATCCTGTCTTGGTATCTCGACTCCAGTCACTTTCTCACAGGCATGAAGTGGCTTCCCTCTGTCTCATGGCAACTGCTTCAATGAGCTTCCATTTTTTTTCCTGGTGCCTCAACTACATAAATTTAAGTGTGCTACTAGATTGGCAACAAGGGCTCACCAGTTTACTATTGAAAAAGTTAAATGTAACCACCCCTTCCACAATTTCTTTTCTCGCACTTCCCACCTGTGAAACTCCTTTCCATTTCCTTGCTTCCCTGAACATGCAATGTCACACGCAATTTTCTGTTGTCTTGAACCCCCATTCATCCTTTATTCTTTCCTCAATGCCCCCCTTCCCCCAGTCTTTTCTCACTTTCTCTGTAAACTCCCTGCATATGAGTGGCATTCCCGCCTCACTTGGGGTGAAATGATGAATAAAAATAATGAGACATTGGAAAACCTTTTAAAGGAAGCATTTCTCGGATGTAACGTGTTAGGTTCGGTTTCTTCAGGTTTAAACGAAAGATGTAAATGTGTAAGAAAAATGTGTTGTGATTTCTGAGGATCAGTGATGAAATTTAATTAAAATTACCTTATCAAATCCAATGATTGCTCTTCTTATCCTAAAAAATTCCAGTACATTTTCATTGCACACAGTTTTGTCTTTCATTCCAACCGGAAGAAGCCAAACTTAGCTCATGTCATGTTGGCAAAACATGTTTAAAAGATTTTAAATCCAACAAATACACATATATTTAATCTAGCATTTTTATTATTTAGAGGAGGCACAATGGACTAATGGATAGTGGCTTGGATTGAGGAATCTGAGAGCAGAGTTCAAATTCCAGTCAAATCCATTACATTCACTTACGTGCTAATACCTTTGGGAAAGTTATGAATCTTCTCCCAGCTATGGGAGAAGATTCAGGACAGACTGGTTTCTATAGCCTTGGATGGCAACTGGTCTACTGCAGGAAAAAAATCTGCCTCATCAGTCATGTATCAAAAGATACATGATCGCCTAAGCATGTATCACACATAACTGATTTTTATTACTTCAAAAATTATATTGAATACTTCATATTCAAAATAGACATCTTCATGGTTGGTATAATCGAAGGTTGAACACCTGCCTGATTTTGGGGCCCTATTTCACAATATATACCATAGATAATGGCTCAAAAAGAACCTCATAAAAATTATGCTAATTTATGCCAATGATTCCATAAGAAATTTTGGGTAATTTGCTTTTTAAAAATTTTCCAAAGTCATGTTTTATTTTAAATTTACATGATTCGAAAAGAACAAAGAAATTTTTACAAAATCTACTGTTTTGGAGTTATTTTAGATTCATTGGTGTTGTTGTCGGCACAGCAGCCATTATTGGTGTTGTTTGCATCAGTGCATGCGTAATAATCAACACGAATGTCTATTCCACAGCAAATATATGCAAACACCTCCAGTAATGGCTGCTGTGACATGAATAAGTTCAAACTTTTATTGTCGTACAGCAAAGTTTTTATACAATAAATTTTAACCGTCCCCAAAAGTACTTCCTCTTGCAATTCCCGATTACGACCCCTAATTACTATGCGCTATTTATATTTGTTTATTTACAAGAGATTTTTGATGTCTTCTGTTGGACAGTCAAATTGAATATGATCAACCAGAGAAAAGTACTTCTAATTTATACCCCATCCGTGGTATCTAATTGCCTTGATTGACGTTCCTCTTAATTAGTCCAATATTATAGGAACTCTTTGATCATACACGAAATAGAAATATAAAGTGACCCTGTGTAATTATTACCAATACAATTGGATTAGGTGTGAAACGGCCGAGGTGTTAAAATTTCACAAAATTTGGGCTGTTTAATCATTGGAATCAAGGTAAAACTTGTGAAAAAGGGGTGTGATTATTAAAACAAATTAGGACCCATCTGATGATCATTTGTTCTATCATGAAGATGGCCCAGAAATTGGTAAAATAAGGTGGAATTTCTAAAAATGTGAGTGATATTAAGGGTACAAAAGCAAAATCTCAGGATCCATCACCCACCAGTGGTACATTGGGTACTGCAGTAAACTAGTTTGCCTAATAGCAGTAGACTACTGTACAAGGCATTTCTGATTTTAGTCATAGTATTTGTGGAAATTGCAAATGCCTAACAGTCAACTGGTACCAATATAAGATGTTACTGGACATAAAGTGGGGGATTGATTTTCTATTGTTATTAAGTAATAAACTGGTCCCCAACAATTAATATCAATCGAATTGGAAAAATATTTTTTTAACTGTGGAATATTTAAACACCCTACAAAATATTTTTCCTTCATATTTAGCAAGTGACAAAGTGAAATGTTCCTGATTCTTCAAGTAACTTTCTGGATATCTCTGTAAAGGAGTTTCTGTTTTTAGTCCTAAATATTAGTGGGAAGGAAAAGCATATGACCATAAAGTAAAGACAATTTGCAGTAATTGCAGTAGAAGTGTATGCAATGCTTTCAGTAAACCTCTTGTTCATTGCTTGGAATGCGTGTCTGGTGAATACCAATTCGTGAATCACCTTGCAAATTTTGGTGGGACCTAAACATCCACCAAATCAGGCCAGAAACACGGTGAAAAAGAACTTCTACTCAGACCATCTGCATTGCGGAAAGGACTTAAAGGGAGGATGCTTCTCCAGTCACTATAATCTTAACCTTTTCAAGTCAAGAGTCAACCGTTATCTGACATATCTTCATAAATTGTACCTCTTGCTCCCTCCTTGTACAACCATACAATCTTATTTAGTAGCCCTCTACCTCGAGTGGCTCTCGGGCCTTGTATTAGGTGAACAATACTAATAAATAAATGATAGAGATATGCAGGTGAGAGAGAGAGAAAGACAACAAGTGACATAATTTTACACAATATTTTTAATGTCATCCTTAACAGAACTACACAATCTTTGTTTTTATACCCCAAAAAAGTACATTTGCTTTTAACAACAAATCATACTACTTCTGTCCTATAATAGTTGGGACATTTATTGTACGAAACGTGCATGCAGATGTAACAACTATTATAGAACACCGTAATATAATTATTCCGACGTGTCACGGGGCAAACAAATGTTGTCGAGAACGGTTTTGCTAATCGATTCAAGTTTATGTACAGTCTTTGAAAGGAAACAACAACATTTCTGCCCCCTCCCCACATTTGCTTTGTAATCTGGTCATCAGCTTCAGCACAATTGGTCTGAAGAGAAAGACATACTTCTCACTTTACCCATTCACTCTGATCACATGATCAAGAAACTAACCAATCAGATCGCACAAAACACTTCACTCATACAGATTTGCTTTTTCTTTTTTTAGTTGTCAGAGGCGAATAGAGTTTTGATTCTGTCACCATTGGTAAAAAGGCAGTAGGCAGCAGCTAAAGTGAATCCTAAACCTCCTGCACGAAGACATTTTTTGGCACCAGCTGAAATCAAATGGAGAAACACAGAATTAGGACAAGAATCAAATTTTTATATCATTTTCAGAATTTTTAATAATTTTACCAACTATAAAAAAAAAAATTGTTGTCTTTAAAAATTACTCCATTTTCTTTGCCCTTAAGATTAGAAATTTTTTTTTTTTTTTTTCAAGTACACACATGGTTAGTAATTATACTAAATGAACTTTTATGGTACATTGACTGCTATATAATGGCTGTTATAAATTTTAGACAAGACCAGGATGGGAAAATTTTGTATAAGCAAAATTTGAAACGCTAATTTTTTAATTAATGACCATAACTTAGCTACACCAAACGGTTGGGAGCGAGACTGACCAAGAGATGGCCAAGGTGTCAGGCGCAGGTGAAATACTGAGGAAGGGGGAGGAATTGCCCATGCCCATTGGGAAGTATTGGTGTGAGATGCCAATAAGAAGAAGTTATCAGGGCGGACCGATACCTGCCCTTAGGAAAAGGGGATCTCACAGATTTTGAAGATTTAAGTAATTTTCAAGAGCCAGACAACAAAAGGGCTCTTGTTAGAAGATAGGAGAATCACAGAGTCCCCTAACTGCATCATACCCAACACTGGTTTTAGGTGAATGCCAAAAAATGCAAAGAATCGAAGCGGCAGAAACAGTTGTTGCAGACGCTCTGACAAGAGACATTTGCATTGCCTGATAAAAATATCATGACTTAAATTCTCTGAAGACCTGTTCCTATAACTAATATAAACATTATGCCCCACAAAAATGAGTCTTTCAAAATTTTATAAAATTAATTAAGTGGGGGTTAATAGATGTTAGAAAAAAAAGTTTTACAAATATTTTTTAAAAAAAACATTTCAAAAATAATTTCATTCATTTGTGAATAAGTTCTAAAAATTTAATTAAAATCCGACAACTATTTGATTTTTGAAAGAATTTCAAAATCAGTATTTTACACCATAAAAAGCCACTAAAATTTCTCATACTAATTTATAAGTTGAGGGAAAAAAAAAAAAAAAAAAAAAAAAAGATATCTTGCCTTCTTCATTTACAGATTGGCTTGGTTTGTTTTGATTTACAGCATATCAACCTGTTTTGATTCCAGTTTGGGGGTTAACTATTTGCCCATAGCGGGGACCCTAACTGGTGTTACCACCCCAGGTCAAGGTGGACCTGGAAACACCAGCAATTAAAAAGTGGTTCCATGCTCCTCAAAACCTCTTGATCAGAGGCCTTGCTGTTGGATGTAGTGTATTGTCTCACCCAGGACAACTCATTTATGTGTATGTGTGTGTGGGGGGTCTTAACCCTCTGCAGAGGTGCAGTCGGTGTATTCCGGAGCCCCAGCTGACAGGGCTTCATTTATAGAATTTGGAGCCCCACGTGAATGTTTAAAAAAAAAAAAAAAAAGCCAGCCTCTTGCATGAAAATAATCCATGTATATGTAAGTCTACTAATATAGAAAAAAAATTGAGATTTTCAATAATATATACATATTATTTGGAATGCGCTTTTTGAGCCTGGCAATCTTGGAAGTGTCAAGGGTGACCTTCTGACACATGATGAAAAAAAATACATTGTAAAGAAGAAAGGTTGACAACCACTGGTCTAGCAATTAACAGATTGCTCAGCTGAACTTCTTATGGCATCTTTGTAGTAAGGGGACATAAATGGAAAGGGGGCAGAGCAAATAAAACAAGACAAGGCTACAGAATACAAAGGAGACACCAGTGCCAATGAATCACTCATTAAGCTACATCGTTATAGGGAGGAATTTTGGGAGAGAAATGACTCTGCAACTCACCCGAAGATTTATAGAGGAGACCTGTGGTTGTAGCAGCAGTTAATGTGTTAAGTTCATCATCAACACCTCGACCAAGTTGAAGCAATACGCCAATCACGCTGTACATGAGGGCTGAAATGCATAAAAAGAACGTGAGCAGAAGATAAAAAAAATACAAAGACCAAAACGTGTGTAGTGGCTTTGAAAAGGTCTTGGCCTGAACCAAAAACCAGAATAATAATATACATACAGGTTATCCATAAAGTTTGTGTGCGCTTTAAAAAAATTTATAAACTTTGTCTTTGCAATAGAAATAATTTGTGAAAAGGATTAGAAAGAAGTAAGTCTATATTTTTTAAGCTTTTATTGAAATTTTATTTAAGTTTCCACATGTCCTCCATCATTAGCAATACAAAGGGTAATACGATTTTGCAGTTCACGGAAAACATTTGCCAACTGATTTACAGTAATGCCTGAAATCACATTATTTTAGCTTATACTTAAAACTAGGTACATTAAACTTTATAACATTTTTTACAGATTATTTCTATTGCAAATATAAATAAAGTTATAAATTTTTTAAAGTGCACACGAACTTTATGGATACCCTGTATATAAAACACACACAAAAAAATCAAAAAAAACAAAAAATAAAAATATAAAAAAAAATATCTTTATCTTTTCTTTTGCACTCTTCTCTTAAGTGTTCAAAAATATTGGAAGAGTTACACAAAAAAAAAAAAAAAAAAAAAAAAAAGCATCCAGAATAACAAAAACAGCCCCATAATAATAAAAACAATTGAGTTACTTCCCTTGTCCGCTCGTCAGAGCAGTCACTTCTACATTCAACATGTTGACAGGCTGACATCCACGTGGCAATTCATGGTTTAATTCCAAATAAATCCTTGCTTTTCTCAAGCAGCAAATGGATAAAAATTATTTTATTATGCATTAAAATACACTTGTCTTATCTTAATTCATTTTTGTTCGTCCCAACAATCTGGGATGTAAAAAGAGTGTAAAAAACTTTTAGAAATAATGATTTATTTTTTCCAAGGATATTTGTGCTTGAGTGAATATAAATGAACCCAACTTGAATTTGCAAGCTTACGGCATCTCGTATACCAAAGCTGTCAACCATCTAGGTACTGACCAAACTCAACATTGCTTAAATTCTGTGATTGTACGAGAATAGGTGTTTACGAGGATATTATTAGCTCATAATCAACTAATATTAACGTCATGGCATTTATGCACCAGGATGAAAGTAATTCTGGCCAAGCCAAGTCACCGTATGGCAAGCTAGATAGCTGCAAGTGTAGGGCATGTGGCTCTCTGCCACCATAGAACAGTTTTCTGTATACAAATAAACAGCTGCCCATGACCACATGTTACCATGACAAAGTGTTCAATTTTGTCTGCCTAGCATCTTGGCCTTTCAAAATCAATGGTTACACAGCCATCCACTTACAAAGAAGATTAGAAGCAGAAGGGTAAATTACTCACCAATGACACCCAATGACTGTCCGGATGAAGCCCCTTGTTTCGTAATGTAATTTAACATTCTGAGAAAAAAAAATTGAATAAATAATAAATCAAGAGATAATCAAACAGCTCACATATTATGTCTATAAATTAATAAATGTTGTTATTGACCAACTCCAGATTTTTGTGTAATACTGCTCATCAGTGTCAGATGTTTGGATAAATCTGTTGAATTATTATCAGAAGTCATATTTATACTTCATAAGACAAAATTCTGATTGTGGACACCAAAATTCAGTTTTGAACATAGCATTTAGAGGTAATATTTTATATTTACTTATTTTCACTTTTTATTTACTTTTATATAATTTTGTCATAAAATAAACACAAAATTTTCTTTTTAGAAAAAAAAAAAAAATAACCCAATACAAGACCCAAGAGCCACTCAAGTTAGAAGGTTACTGTATGGTGTTGCATGAGCTTAAGAAAGGGCAAAAAGTGAAGTTCATGGAGGAAACATAACAGTTAACGCAGGACTTGAAGATGTAAAGATCGTAGTGATCAGGAAAACAGGAGTCCGTTCCACAAAGCAGCAGTTCTTAGGAAATTGGAATATGAAGGAAATTGGGGATGATTCACTTTTGTGTATGTGGAAGGGCGGGTGTGTAGCAATAGAGCAACAAGAGGTATGCAACATTTTGTGGGAAAGGGGTTGTAGGGTGGAAAATAATCCATCACCCACAAGGCTGCAGTGATGCTTTTGAACTATCAAGACAGGTAAGTAAGGACTGGGCACCTCTAGCCCAGATATGAAAGCAATATTCCACGTTGGGTCTAATCTGACTCTTGTGAAGATAGATTACCGCAGGGGGGAGAGTCAGATACTTACTGGAGCGGTACAACAAACCAGCCATATTCTCAGCATCTTTAGCAATAGATTGGATATACGAGTTTTACTTGCAGTCTGGAGAGTCCCAATAGACGTTCAAGAGAAGGAGGCTCTCCTTGAGAGAATATCCATCTATTATGATGGAGGAAAGTTCAGGGTAGGGTCTGCTGTGGAAATTCATCAACAATTAAAGAATTCAGAAAATAGTTATTTAAACTCTTGTAATATTTAAAGTGATTAATTCTTTCTTTATTGTAAGTTACTAAGTATATATTAAATTTATTTAATTTAATTACTAGCCTAAAAATTGCCCTTTGGGTAGACTATAGGCTAGCTCCTAGAAAGGGCCTTTGGCCTTTTACCTTCAGCATCCTATGTACATAAAAGTTATAAGAATTTAGAAATAAATTTATTTTATCGTTATTCAACACCTTAATTTGGCATAATCTTTCTTCATATACACAACCAATCTTTTGTTTACATTTATTTTGCATGCAATTTTTATTTTAAAATCCCCATTCCTTACGATCCCTTCACACAAAGTCACTCTTAAAAGACATCAGGGAACCTAAACTATGTAATATTTCAAATATGCATACTTTAAAAAGGAAAAACAAAAAAATATGAGCAACATACTGTGCCTCACTTAAGTTTGAATTACAGTCTAATTAGACGATATCACTTGCTACTGCGACAAAAAGTGAAATTAAACCTTTAATAAAGAATTGTTTTTAAGCTGTTTACTTTGTTCAATATTTAAATGTAACTTTAAATGAGTTATTTAATTTTTCATCACATGTAACCAGAGTAGTTACGACCTGTTACTTCAGGTTGTTTATGATTCGATGAGATCAAAAACTGGACGGACAGATACACGTACACTGCGCTTTATTTATATAGATTTTATATTACTAATTCAAACATAAAATTAAAAAGTCATTTATACCAAAATTGGTATTGCATTAGTAATCCTATATATTATCATTTTATTTTCATGATTTACATGCAGACAATTGTCTTCATCTTCCTTAATGCTGTTATCACCATATTTTACTTGCCATGGCCTCTGGCCTTCATCAATCCAGGTAACCTACAAGGAATTCCAAACTGAACCCTTTATTTAATCAACAGAGGTAGGTTGTTCTTGTGCCACTACCCATGTCTAGGGATATCTCATCTAGCTCTTATTTTTAATACTACTTGTCATTTATTTCCTCCCTTCCTCCACCAGCCGTCCACCCATACATTTTCTATGGGTTAAATAGCAAAGTAAAATGGACTCACTAGCCTTAAATTGTAACCAGTCTAGAAGGCCTACTCTGAATTCAAAACCAATCATTGAGATGCCAACATCTTACTATCCTTTCCATCATGGCAGTGCAGAGATAAAAACCAAATCGATAGGGTGCATTAAGGAACACTGCATAAAAAAAAAGTTTTTTGGGGTGTTTTTTTTTTTTTTTAAACAGTTTGTCGTATTGGTTATTAGAATTTTTTTATTCCCACTTTACATATAGAGGAACCAAACATTTTTATACCTTGTATTAAAATAAAAATTCTTAAAAAAAAAAAAAAAAAATGTCAAAAAATATTAACTGTTGTCTTTAAAACACACAAAGGAATTAAACATTAATTTGTTTAAAAAAAAAAATATGTCTTGCCTGCTAGCTTTAAAGCAAACACATACATACACACACACTCGTATATAAAAATAAAACCATAGTAAATAACTCTGGTTTGAAGGGATCAAAAGATTTTCTCACCCCCAACATATGCAACCATTTTACCCAAAATATACTTACTGTGTACGCCGTACAGCTCCTGTCAATGCTGCTGAACTTGTGTCCCGATAACCTGAGTATAAACCATTTAAGCCTCCAACAGCAGCACCTGAAAGAGAGAAAATTCAGTAAAAGACTCCTATAGATACTATCATGGCAATTGTTCTGATGAACTTACCACTATTGTATCCAGACTTTATGAATTTAAGCACAGTACTGGATAGGCAGCTAGGTCTCATCCTTTTACACTTGAAATGGCTAGATGCAAGTTCTATGCTAACAGTTTCTTCTCTCACACTTCTCGCTTATGGAACTCTCTTCTAGCTTCCCAGTCAACTTTGATCTTCAAAAATTTAAATACAATGTCAGTCATTATCTTCTTAATTCTGGTTCTCTGATAGCCCACTCTCCTCAATAGTAGTTTTTCTCATATTCTCTAACACTTAGTAACTTCTTGTGTCCTAGTGGCTTTATTGCCTTGCTTGCAGTGAAATGATTTAATAAAAAAAAACAAAAAAAAAAAAAAAAAACGATTAGACAGAATTCAATTGTTTAAGTTTCAGGTACAAAAATGAAGCTGGCAAATACAGATTCGTGAATGTCTCAACAGGACAGTGCCTTAAATAATTAATTCAAACCTTGCTCTACCTAAATTGCCTCTTGTAACCAAACTGGTAGCTGCACGTTTTGGCCATAGAAGAAGTTTCTCTAATGGCAAAAAAGGATATGGATTCAAAAGGATATGGATATGGAGGCACTATTTCTCTTTTGTGGAAATTCTCAATCTAAGCTGGTCATTAATTTCATTGTATAAGAAATTTAAGCAGCAGGGATAGCAATTCAAACATATATACCCAATAAAAATGACACATAGTAATAAGAAATGCTGTAAAAATCCATATATATATATATATATATATATATATATATATATATATATATATATATGTATGTATGTATAATATGGAAAAATTATTAATAAAAAAGAAAACGCCAACACTCAATAACATCAACTATGAAGAAGGTCACAATGTGCTGACCATGTTTGGAAACTAAAAACATTCCTATAACTCTAGATATATATACAAAAAAGAAAATCCATACATTCAGTTAAAAGAAAAAAAATAAAATAATTCTTGATAATGGCTAAAAGAATAGCCAAAAGGTCTCAGTCATAGAGAATGTTCAGACAATTTATATATAATTTATGTCTAGAAAAGAAAAATAATTATAAGAACACAAGAAAAATTAAATAAAAAAAAACTTAACCGCAGTACCTTGTCAGTCGTTTTTAATGAAATGTGTGTGTAAGTAAATGCTCAGTTTTATAATAAACAGCATTAACAACATTTACTGTCCTGAATGTTTGAGAAATTTAATATAAAATGTTTTCTACAACAGGAATCGAACCTGTATTCTACATGGAACTGTCATATAGCTTGATGTGCTATAACATTTAGCTACAGACGAAAACAATAATACGACCATGATAACCATATGCTTCCTGCATAGCTGAATGGTATAGCATGTCAGGCTATATGACGATCCTATGTAGGATACAGGTTCGATTCCTGTTAGAGGACACATATTTTCTATAAAATTTCTCAAACATTCATTTTATATATATATATATATATATATATATATATATATATATATATATATATATAAAAAATGTATATTAAAGCATTTTTAATATTGTATTGCTTAATGATCTAATTCAACTTTTATTACTTTTATATATATATATATATATATATATATATATATATATATATATATATATATATATATATATATGTATGTATGTATGTATGTGTGTGTGTGTGTGTGTGTGTAGCTACCTCCATGAGATCACTAAAAAAAGAGCATAGCATGATGAAAAAAGACGCCAAACTTGACAAAAAAAAAAATTTTATCATCATCTTATTAAGAGGAAAGATCAAAGTATTTTGGGGATTTTTTTTTTTTTTTTACATATTTTAATAGTTCCTTGCATGTCCGAAATTTTCATTAAAATCTTTTCTTTTTTTTTTTTGAGTCAGAAAAATTGACAGACAATCAATCATGGCAATCATTTTTTTCCATTTTATAAAAAAAATGAAAATCTCAGTTTGAAATTCTTTTAAAAATCAATTATCATTTTTTCAAAACTTATTTTAAGAAAATCAGAAATTATAATATTTATTTAAAATATTTTGAACCAAGCTTAACTTAGCTTTTGCGCCAAAAAGATGTAATTTGAAAATAAAACAAAGCAGGTCATAGACTTTCGCGTCACTTGACAGGTGAAGAATGACATATTGACGGATTCCATGACCATAATTTGTTCTACGGAAGGAGAAAAATGAAATTATTTATATTTAAGTGAACAAATTATTTACTTCGTTATTTTTAAGGAAAACTTTCAATGCTCTAATTTTTTTTTTTGTTTTTTGTACTTAGGTTTCACCTTTACATTTACGATGCTTTATGGAAAATATATTATATAAAATTAAAATAAGACTGTTAAGAGTGAGATTAAATTTCATAAAGATATGTAATTTATAGGTACCTTTCTTATGAAATTTTATCAGAAGTGTACATAAAATACTATAATTTTATGTACATTTACTACATTTACTACATTTTACTGTGTTATTTGTATTTCCATTTATTTTATTATTAATTTTGTTATTTCATTTATGGAAAAAATGTCATAACTGAGATTAATATAAAAATAAGATCATATAAATTTCATAAGATGATACTGATACTTGTAGGTACCCTTCTCAGTTGAAATTAAAAAATCAAATTAACTTCTCCACACGTTTTGCAAAAGTAAAGGCTTTAACAGCGGAGAACAATGCTTAACTCAAATAACACAATTGTATTCTGGTTGGTCTTCCATACTTTATAATTACAGCCCGATTATAAACACAAAATTACATTTCTTAATTACTGCGGGTCTTCTGATTAGCCAAAACAATACAATTTACAATGCGCTAAAAAAAATTTATCTCATAAGGACACTTTATGAAAGTGGATGCAGCTTTTAACTAATTTTATAATATTTTAACAACTTAAATGTAAAAATCTATTATAATTAAAAAAAAATAATAATTGTATTAAAAATTCATTTTCATCAAAAAAATTTTTTGCTTTCAGAAAACATTGTCCATATTCATAAAAGCAAATAAAAGCATTTGAAATTAAATAATATATTTGTTTTATTGAATCTTGTATGTTACAATTCAGAGCTGATTTTCAGGTGGGGGGGGGGATCCAATTAAAAACAAAAAAAAAAAAAAAAAAACATGATTTGCATTCCTCAAAGCCTTGTGCTTTTAACTATTGTAATTACTAAAGCAGACTCAATCAAATTTCTAGAGTTTTCATAAAATTAGTTATGGGAGAGCATAATAAATATTAAAAAAAATATTTCTGCCATGACTTAAATAAAAAAAAACATTTATAATAATTTCGATCATCTGTGAATAGTTTTGTTTTCGTCAAGTTTGGCGTCTTTTTCATCATGCTATGGTCTTTTTTTTTAACGATCTTGTGGAGGTGTATATATATATATATATATATATATAAAATTAGCCAATTCAACCTTTTGGTATCTTCAAGTGATTAAAAGGTCAATTGATTTAATCACCTATTGATACATTTCCAATACAACTTCAGTTCCTTCTACTACACCTCATGTTGTGCACTTATTTATTTATTTTTTTAAATTATATATATATATATATATATATATATATATATATATATATATATATATATATATATATAGGCAACATGTTTTCATAAAGACATCTCATTAAAAAAAGTTAGATAAGTTTTGTCTACTTATTTTTAATATGATCCTCTCATATTCAAGGACAAGCTTCTTAATATCCTTATGAAAAGAAAGAAAGTTACAATATTGATGTATATTCATTTATTCAGAGTACTTTCAACATTAGCAAAATGTCATCTTCAGGGTCTTGTTTTATCTTAAGACAAATTTGTTGTGTTTATCTGAAAATTAAATTTATTTGTGAAGTGAAAAATGCTAAACTTATGTACTGTACAATTTTTAAATTTTATGATGTAAACATACTCATGCAGTAATGTTAAGAGAGATAACTAAGTTATTAAAATGTTTGCCTATTTTTTTAAAAACTATTTAAAGCTATTAGTTAATGCCTAGATATTTCTAAACTATCTACTGTATACATTTTAAAACATTTATGCAGGATTCATAATTTTATTAAGGATTGGCTTCAATTTTTTAATATAGATAGCTTTAAGAATTTTTAATTTATATTTATTTTCATGTAAAAGTATAGATGTATATTTAACAAGAATTTTTCTAAATTTTGAATGTGGACAGGCATGCTGTTGTAAATATTTAGAAATGTTAGATGTATCATTCAAATGAAAACTCAACCTGCAAGACAACATAGTCGTAGTGTGACTAACATAAATATTTTTTTCTGCTGTAGGTACAATGGACACTTAAATTTATAATATTGTTTTTCTGCAACACAATAATTGGTGGGGAAGGTCATTATGAATATAAGAGGATCATATTAAAAATAAGTGTGTGTGTGTGTGTGTGTGTGTGTGTGTGTCTATATAAGTAAACATTGAAGTCAAAACTCAGAGGTAACAGGCTGTTTCATGCTAGACACAATTGTCAGGCCATGCATGATATTTTTTTCTTTCAACTATTTATAGATAGTCAAAAAAAACAAAAAAAAACATGTGGCCTGAGGAATGTGTCTAGTATGAAACAGCCTGTCGCCTCTGAGTGTTGACTTCAATGTTCACTATATATATATATATATATATAAATAGATAATATTAGTGGTAAATATTAGTGTGTATATGTGTATAGATGGATATATGCATGCGTACATGTGTATGTATGTATGTATATGTATGTGAAAAGTGTGTGTATATGGATATACATGAATATGTGTAGATATGTGAATATATTTTTATATGTGTGTACATGGGTATATATATGTGTGTATGTGGGTACACGCCTATGTGTATATACATGTATATGTTATTGTGCATGTGTGTATTCGCATGTGTTTTTGAAAATAAAAATATAGGTCCTTGCTGGATTAGATAATCGTTATATTTATTTTTATATGTTTATATTTGATTTGTAACCTGTAGTCGATATTAAATTTGTCAAATTTTCTCAATTACAAAGCTGCCCTTTGTTCAATTTTACTTTTAGTTTCCTTCGTCCCATCTCTCTCCCCCACCTCATCTTTTTTCCTCCTCTTCCTCTCTAACATTAGATTGTCTATGGTGTGTGTATGTCACCACGAAATGTATCTTTATGCATTAGACATCCGACAACATTCATTTTTCTCTTATTTAAACCCCTTCCACCCACCTCTCCTAAAATTCTCTCTGTTAAGATTTAATCTCCCTCCTCCTCATACTTAAACTCTCTCTAAATTCTGTTTTTATTTCCGGAGTTGGTTTTTCTGTTTTCTTTTTGAATTTGTAGGTCTGATGAATTGGATCGTATTTACGATTCCAATGGAATAAATTATGACCATGGAATATTACTAAGTGTTTAAGCCTTTTTTATATATATATATATATATATATATATATATATGACTAATATAAATATAAAATTGGTCACTTAGCTGATTGATGTTATATTCAGCATCACAACTCCAGAGTTTCATAAATGAACCTTTTTATTATCGTTTGGTCCACTCATCAGGAGAACACAACCACACAAAAGGTTGGGCACTGTTATAGATTGAATATTCTTGAAATCTCAAATACTTTTTTTTTTTTTACTATGGTCATGTTTAGTCTGTCAAAACATTGTGCATACATATTACCCATCATAACTATTTAGAACTGCAACATCCATTGCCATGCATGACAATAAATAGGATTTGGAGGAGAATAAAATAAATAAAAAAAAATGATATACCTGCAAATACAGAACCACCAATTTGTGAGAAAGCAAGTTCTAATCTTCCCCTTTGTCGACTGGCTCCTTCTGGAAAGATGAAATCAGACCCACTTTCCTGTAAAAATGAAAAAATATAAATAAAATGAGGGGAAAAATAAAAGTAAAAGGCAAACTTAATTTTCAGGCTCACTGATATCTACATGGGCCAAATAACATTTTCAATATTAGGGATCAAATATACAAAAAAAATGTTATTTTGTTAGCAAAATTAACAGTATCACCATATAGAGGAAGAAAAGAAAAAATATTGTAATGTAAGCAAAGAGTCTTTTGAGATTAGGGAGAAACACCTAATCGATTGCACTCCCAACAACTACGAGGATAATAGGAAGAGAGGGGAAAGAGAGAGGAGGTAACAAAAATAGCACTGCTCAGAAACCACAGCAACTTGAAGAACAAAATACCCATGGGATCAACTTCACAAGACACTGACTTGCCGACTGTTGTTTTCCGCGTGTTTTTAATGGCATGAGGCATCTTACTAAATTCCGGATCTTGACCAGTTGCAGAGAGACCCATATCCAGACATGCCAAACTGTCCCACTGCTAGCAAGAAAAACCTGGATGTAACTGGAGTTGACAAACTTGTGTTCCAAGGCATTATTTACATCTGTACTGACACGTGTTTGCCACAGGTTAAAATAAATATGTCGGAGAAAAATAAAAGTAAAAGATGAAATAAATTTTGGGGCTCACTAACACCTACATGGACCAAATAACATTTTAATTGTTAATGATAAAATATACAAAAAGATTTTTTTTTTTTTTAAATAAAACAAAAATGTTATTTTGTTAGGGAACTTGACATCGTCACCATAAAGAAGAAAAAACATTGAAAAAGGTTAAAATAAATAAATCAGGGGAAAAATAAAAGTAAAAGATAAACTAAATTTTCAGGCTCACCAACATCTACATGGGCCAACTAACATTTTCATTGTTAATGATCAAATAAGGATTTTTTTTTGTTTCTGCTTCTTTCTAAAGTTTTCTGATTTTCTTTTACTCCCAGTAACCTCTTGCATCCTAGTGGTATTATTGCCTTGCTTGAGGTGAAGAAGAAAAAAAAAAAAGTGATCCTACAACAGAATGGGAGAAAATATAAATTAAGAATAAGATAGAGGAATTAAAATAAGACAAATATCCCCTTGCCCCCCATCAGAAAGTAATACAACGTTGGCATGTTAAGGACTATGAAAACTAGTATAGAAACAAAGACAACTATTTTTTTTAATCAATTCACCCCAAGCAAGGCAATAACACCACTAAGACACAGGGGGCTACTGAAAGAGAAGGAAAAGACTTTAGAAGAAGCTGAAAACCTAATCCTAAATCGAAAACAGGAGATAAACATCTACTCTTGTTCAAAAGACAAGGAAGGAGTATGAACCGGGCAATAGGCAAACCTATCTACTCCCATTTTACATCAGTCGCCTATTCCAACCACCCCACCCAACTCCGGACACGCCACGGTAATTTCTGAAAAATACCATGAAGACTCTTCATTCACCTGACCTCAGTGTGTTAAAAAAGCACCATGGACAGCCAAATATGAAAATCTAATGACCAGTAGCCAGACAAAAGACTGGCCCCTCAAAATGAAGTCAAAAAAGGATGGAAAGAAAGAAAAAAAAAAAGGGAGACAAGTATAAAATGAAGATGTGAGGAACAACAAAGAAATAGTTGTGGATGAAAAACAAAATAAAAATTAGGGGTATAAAGGAAAGAAAATATACTTACAGCACCAATATATGCTGGGTCAAAGTTCAGATACGGAGACATCATGCTGCCCATACCCCCAACATTGACTGGAAAAAAAAAAAAAAAAACACACTAAAGTAGTTGATATATATACTAAAAAATTAAATAACAGTGAAAGTCATAAATGGGAAGAGATGTTTTTTCGAGATTTCCTTCTTTGTGTGCCATGTCCCCTCGGGATGTAGATGATCATGGCTCTCCACAATTTCCTGTCCTTTGTAGCTCTTAATAAATGTTGTCTTTTTGTTATCATTCCCAAACTCTGTTCTACCATCCATTTACTTGTTGTGTGTTTTCATCTGTAACAATTTCTCTTCTTCTATGTGCCATGTCTCTTCAGGACATTGGCAATCATGGCTCTCCACAATTTCCTGTTATTCGTAGCTCTTAACAAATGTTGTCTTTTTGTTATCTCTCCTAAACTCTGTTCCGCCATCCATTTAGTTGTTATGCGTTGATTTCATTTGTAATGATACTCATTCTTTTTCTATGTGCCATGTCCCTTCAGGACATGGGCAATCATGGCTCTCCACAATTTCATGTCTTTTGTAGCTTTCAATAAATTTTGACTTTTTGTTATCTCTCCCAAACCTTGTTCAGTGTTGTGGAGATGAATACACCTCTCCAGATGAGGGCTTAGGTTTGGACAAATATTGACTGATGCCAAGAATCATCAGTAGAAGGAGTAAACAAGTAGAGAGTTAGACATCTACCTTATCTGTTTACTACCTAGTATGTGTCTATATTTCTGAGATGAGGTATTATGTACATTATTTGGACTATTATCCTCATCCTTGTCGCCATATTTATTACAACGCTTCAGCCATTATACGCTCCGGCCTTCTTGATTGGAATGTTGAACTGAACCCTTTATTTTGCTCACTGGGGTAGACAGTTCTAGTTCCACATGCCATGTCTAATGGATGTCAGTTATCAGTTATCACCTGTTATGCTAGGCCACAAAAATCTTCTGAGCCGACCAAGCATAGAAATGAATACAACCAGTAATAAGGAGTGCCAGAGAAAAGTGATAACAACAACAAAAATTGCAATATGAGCTCTGGTAAAAACATGTAATGATAACAGCAAAAATTGCAATATGAGCATTAGTAAAAAATGGTTGCTGAAGACATTAGGTTTATAATACCCAGAAATTCATATACAGATGTCCTCAAGGAAACATGTAGATAAAGGCGTTAGATCCAGTGACAAGACCCAAAGAGTGTGAGTTCAATACCTGGCTAAGGCAGTGGAGAACTTTCAGAGGGAAATTAATGGGCGATAACTGATATCCATTAAAAACATGGCACGTGGAACTAAAACAGTCTCTCCCAGTGAGTGAAATAAAGGGTTCAGTTCGACATTCCAACCACCTGAAGAAGGCCGGAGCATACAACAGCCGAAACATTGTAATAAATATGGCGATAAAGGTGAGGACAATAGTCCGAATAATGTAAATAATGCTTACTACCTATTTCAGCAAGACTACTTCAACTCCAAGTGACATACTACTTCTTTATTGTGTTATCTTTCAGTGCAATGAAGACATAACATTCCACCATCCATTTACTCGAACACTCTAGGTGGGTTATGCATTGTTTTCCTGTCCCACTTACCTTCAATTTGTCCTGTGGGTATCAAATTTTCCAAGTCCTCTTTCATCAAGTTCAATGACTGATAGTCTTTAGGCTGCAGAGCAACTTTTATTTCTTCTTCTATGTGCCGTGTCTCCCTCAAGATGTAGGCGATCATGGCTCTCCACAATTCCCAGCTCTAAGTAACTCTTAATAAATTTTTGTTATTTTGTCACTAAGTAGGTTATGCATTGCTTTCCTGTCTGTCTGTCAATGTCCTATGAGTATCAGATTTTTCAAGCCCTCTTTCCTCATTATGTGTCCCAGAAATTTCAACTCTCTTCCTGATGTTAAGTATGTTTCCTTTTTGTTTCCATTTTCTTTAAAACTTTGTCATTGCTCACATAATCAGTTTAAAAAGAAAAAAAAAGGTAGTACTCAAAATAATCTATATAATAAATGTGAATGTCAGTGTGTCACACTTTTTCAACCAAAGGGACACAACTCTTGAACTTTCAATAGCTCATGTTACAGAAATTTTGGATTTCTAAGTTTTCATTACTGCAATTGTTTTTCGCAATTTTTTGGCAAACAAATTTTTTTGTATGGTAATTTTTATAACTTGGAAATAAAATTGGGAATAATCAAAATTAATTGCAAAATCCAGCAAAAGTCATCCATGAAATAAAAATAATTGTATGTATGGAAAGTAAGGACCTATGCATATCAAATTGTCTTTAAATTAAGTGGTGGCAGAAGAATTACTATTTAAATTATCAGCTTAAATATTAATGCAATACTTAAATGCAGTGATCAATTTTGAGTTCTTCTTTAGTTTATTGTTGCCTATCATATATAGCAGCAGTATGCCTCACAAAAAGAAATCTCTGCCAACAGAAGATCAGACTGCAATCAAAAGAGACAAGGCTGCAACGAGGAATAGAAAGTATCATGTAAATACAAACCCAGATCAAACGGCAGTCAGGAGAGCTTCCATTATGGAGAATATGCAAAGACTTAGGGACTATCAAACTCCTGAACAAGCCGAAGGCCCAATCAAGAGCCCTCCACAAGAGCTAGCTTAAATGCCACCCAATAGGGCAGCTTTTAAGCTAGTTTTATATAAATGCTAAAATGAGTCTTTTTCCCCTCGGAAACATTCAGCATTCCGTGACCAAGCAGTATTACAGTTGGTTAAAAGCTACAAAATCTTTTTTTTCAATCTGTCAAGAAATGAGACCTCTCAAGTCTACTGTTAGAATCCATAGTCTCGCTTCATTGTCAAAATCCATTGTTGTTCACTTGACAATGGAATAAGACTATGAATTTTAAGTTTAGTTTTTATAATTTATAAATTTAGTTTCAGTTTTAAAACATGGAAATTTTCTGTGTCACAATGGAATCCTATTTTTAAAAAGAAAATAATTATAATAATATATTAATATATATTTTTAACCTCGCATAATCTGGCAAACCTTAATGTGAATGCAACGAAAATCGTTCCCTGCGCCTAACTTTTCTAGGGCTTTTGAATGAGATATGAATCATTGAAATCGGACCAGTGTGAGCGGAAGAGTTGCGCACGTGCATGCACAAATACACATACATTGTACTTTATATATAAGATTGAGATAGAAAATAACAACTTGGATTGTATCATATTGTAATGCAAGATAATGACTTTAAGGGAGCACACATCAAATTTAAAAGAACCACTCCAACTAGAGGGGGCCCAAATACTCAAAATTGTTTAAAATTAGTTCAAAGGTGACCCATTAAATCTGAAAATAAACAAACCTCTTCCATTTTGATATCTTTTAATTTTTTTTTAGTTTCATCAGGGACCCAAGACTATAGGATACCTGGGCTACAGGCCATATGTAAATCCGATACTGATCAGACTAATGTCCTCATCTTTGTTGTTACCATCACAACTTTTCAAACATTAAGTCCTCTAGCCCAATCTACAAATATTTCCCTTATTTTGTACAAGCAGACCAGTCAACTGAATTAGTGCCAATATCTTACTTATTATAAAACGCAGATATTGTGTGTGTGTGTACGTTTATATATTGGATCGATTTCCTACATTTTTCAACCGATTTCAACAAAACTTCACAGCACTATGTAAAATTACCTTGCGGTGGTTCTGACAGTGCCAAAAATTGGAAAAACAATTATTTTTGCACAAAATCAATTTGAAAACACGATTAAGAGGCATTAATGAAAGGGGGACAACTCATGTCGAGTTATACTTATTAATATCAAGTTATTGAGTTATACTTATTATAAAACTCAGGTTGGTTGTTTGTGTGTGTGCGTGTTCGTTTATATATGGGATCGGATTTCCTACATTTTTCAACCAATTTCAACAAAACTTCACTTTTTTTTGGCAGATAGTATTTCTTATTGTCTGGCACACTTTTTTCTTTATTTTTACATTCAGAATGCTTTAAAAATTCCATTTACAAGACAAATATCTATAATAAAAGTTTGGGTTTGACCAATTCGTAAAAAAAAAAACAAAAAAAAATAATTAAGACATGCGTGTCCGTCAACCTTAAACAATAATCTTTGTCAATTTTATTTTTCAGTCTTTATGATGATCGATACTTGATCTATCTCTTACTGTTACATCCCCGGGCAACGCCGGGCTCTACTGCTAGTTAGTACATATTTATCAGGACGTTTTTTGTATTAAAAGTCATATCTTTCCAACCTATGTACACGAGTAGCTAAAGTCATCTCATTATCATCAGAACTGTTTAAACTATAATGGTAATATTAGCCATTTCCCTATAAGGAAACATTTGGCATTTATCGACCAAGCAGCCAGTACTCAGAACAGATTTCTTTTTCCTTATTATATATGAATTGCCATGATTCTTGAAAAAGACAGTAAGGGACATGGTAATGCTAATATTAGCCATTTCCCTACAAGGAATTAGCATTCATTGATCAATCAACCAGTACTGTTTTCAGTTGAAATTTATAAAATCTTTCTCTTCAAACTTTTTTTTTAGGAAAACAAGTTTCTCAAGTCCAGTAGCTTTTATCACTCTTTCCAGTATTGATGGGGGTTTTCTTCCAAAACTTCCATTTGAAGTGATGTGGAATGTTTACATCTTTATTATGTCATTTTCTCTCAGAGTTACATGTGCTATCCATTTTAGTTGTTGCTATTGTTGGTAGTCCTCAAGTGATGTGATTTCTGCTATTTGGTACAGTTCTTTGTTTGTAGCACCAGTTTGAAATATTTAAAGAGGGATGATCTTTCCTAGACCTTCAAGCTTTACTCAAAGACTTTTTTCACCATTGATTTTAGGAAGTGGTTGTAAACAGCTGAAAGTTTAGATATATTTCTGAACCAGTTTGGCATCATGTATTGATTCCATATGAAAGTTTTGATCTGACGAGGCTATTTAAGAACTCTTGTTTTCAGGTTGATGTCTTGGTTTTGTAGCAATTTGTGGTTTGTGGCAAAACTATCTCTGGTAGAGAATAGAGATGGATTGAATGCAAAGATCTCACCGATTTCTTGTTCCATGCCTTTTTACCTCATCTGCACATCACTTATAAAATCATCTGCCAGTGATTTAAGACAACAGACAATTGTTTTTGAGAAAAAAAAGAAGATATATGAAATAGAAACAATAATATCCTCACACCACAAGCTATCAACAAACAAGTTAAAAAAAAAACTAACAAATTTAAATTCTATGTAGCACAAAGAAAAATCGGATGAACTAAACTTACTTTAACAAATCCTTACAAATTAGAATTTATTCTACAGAGTGGTCCGAAAGTATTGTCACCAAGACAAGAAATTTTCTATTTCAGGTGGCTAACACGAGCTCCTACACGGAAATGGTGTTTATACAGAACTTCTTGATGCGTGAATAGCGTCAATGAAAGTGAATAAACTGAATCCAGTACATGTGTCTTCTATTACTGTATTACTTGTTCTTCTATTGTTCTCATTAATTTTTTTTTTTTTTGATAGGGGTGACAAGACTTTCGGACCATCCTGTAGATTCAGAATGGACTTTAAGTTTAATTTAAAATTAAATATTTATAAAACCTGGCTTGCTTTTAATTTATTTTTTTTTTTAATTCACAACGATATTTATTTTATTTACACAACGTTTCAAATGTTTTCTTTATAAACTGTTTAAAGTAATTTTTCATAACTTCATCCATAAGCAATTTTCACTACATATTCTTTCAGTTATTGTATTCTTTTACTTTTAAAGATGATGTAACTTAGATAAAAGAAAGCTAATTCTTAATTTATTAAAGAATCATTTTTTCGATGGATAAATCATTATATAACAAATTAAATAACACCGCTATTATTAAGAATCTGATGCTATTTTATTTAAAAAGTCGAATCCGGCCCTAAAATGCACGACCGAATGCATAACTTTCAACTTTGGGGGGCTTTTCTCTGAATAATTTGACAAAAAATAAAGTTATTGCATCTAAGAAAAATATTTATCAACTCAAAAAAAAAAACAAAAAAAACTAGCAAATATATGTGATGTTTGCAAATTAATCACCCACTTTAAAAGTTAAAAGTAAAACGGAATCCTCGACTTTTGTGTTCTTTCTTAAAGAAAGGTCACCATGAGAAGGTGGATAAAAATCTAAAAAAGTACATTTTATTTCCTGTTTTCTTTTTACAGATAAAATGTCATAAATAAAACTTATCCGGTTACTTACCCCCGGCTGCCATCGACGGGTCAGTACTGGAATAAGGATTGAAGAAACTGGTTTTCTTTTGAGAATTGTTATCCATTTTCTTTCTTTATTTTTTTAGCAGTCGATCTGTTCTTCGTTCTGAGGATGACACCAGAAACTAACCATGCGGTCGGAAGTGCGATGTGCGCATGCGCCAAAATTCAAACAGGCGTAAATACCGAATAATACCGAACAGTTACGAGAATAACCGATTTTCTTTTTTTTTTTAATTAAAGCATTATTTTTACTCCAAAAATAATGTTTCTTTATGACTTCTATGAAGCAATCTTTTAATCTTAAATTGTATCTTATATACATACATAGATCATCTGATGATATGAGAGATAAAAAAAATAATAAACTTTTCCAAGATGAATAAATTATATAATGTATCCTAATTTTTTGACATAAGTTAAAAAATATAACATTTATTTATTTTAATTATAAAGTAATTATTTTACTTACTTTAATTTTGTTGTTTAACTTTAACAATATATCAATCGCTTGAATTTAGGTAATAAGATCACCGGTGAAAAAATAGGAAAAAAGTATATTGAACTTCTTTTTTTTTTTTTAAATAAAACCTTTTATTTCTTTTTTCATTTTAATATTAGCAAAAAAAATAGAATTGTTTTACCTCTATTTGTTAATATAAATTCATACATTTAAAATTTATGAAAAACAATTATAATAAAATCAAATATGTTTTAGCAATAAGTGCAGAGCACACCTTTTTCAACCTTTAAAAACAAAATTTACTAACTAGATAAAATCTTATGTTGTGACCAATCCATTTTACTGTGTCATTACCATTCACCCAACTACTATGGGTCATTTAATGCTGAAAAAATAATTTCCTCGAGAACATGAGTATTTTTTTTTTTTTTTTTTTTTTTACCAAAAGCTATTGCTGGTCTTTTTTTAAAAAAATCTATTGCTGGTATTTTTTTTACTATGAAAATATATTTTTGTACATTCAGTTTTTCGACCCCAGTTTGGGGGTTCACTATTTGCCCATAGTTAGGACCCTAACAGGTGCTACCACCCTGGATCAGGGTAGACCTAGGAACAACAGCAATTAAGAGGTGGTTCCACACTTCTCAAAACCTCCCGATCAGAGGCCTTGCTACCAGATGTAGTTTATTGTCACACTCAGGACAGACTTCATAATGAAAATATAGAATTTTCAAATTCAAATTTATCTAATCAGGTAAAGTATATCATGCAAAAGACATATTTGAAATATTTTTAATAAACTCTCTATCTACACTTCATATACCTCCCGGGCACAAAAGTTCACTTTTGTCTACAATTGGATTAAACTGTCCTCCTCATTTTAGACTGGAAAAGGTCCCCCAGTCCTGGAGATTCCAACCCTGTGACAGCGTCCTCCATCCCACCACACATTGCACTAAGAGAGGTAGGGTTGTTGTAATATTGACATAAGTGTGACAGTGGCCTCAGGCACTGGGCAATTTTTTGTCCTTTGCCCATATTGTTATGTCCATAAAGAAATACATAAATAAAAAAATAATTATAGAGTGACTGTGTTGTGTCCATAAAAATATATAAATAAAAATTAATTATAGTGTCAATAATAATTATAATAAAATAATTATAACAATTATAATTATCATCAATTCACCCTTTTTAAACCAATAAGAATCAACCCCACTTTTCTTCTTTACACACACAAACACGTGATATTCTATCAGAGAGGCAATCAACATGGACAGGCCATCAACACATGCATCAACAAAAACTTCGGCTCCTTTTCCTTTTTCAAGCCATAGTAGTAACATTTATCTCTTTGCACTCAACAAAAATTCAAGGTAAGAAAAACCAGGCACTTCTTTTATTTTCCAACTAAGTTATCTGAACATTCGTTACACACATCTATAAAAAGCATAAGAGGAAAAATGTATACTCTTTACTTAGTCATGATTTTATAATTCTGTCAGGTTCCAATCCATATTTAATGTACATTTGGCCCTGAACTCACAATTTTACTCAGTATTACTTTCTCTTGTGTCTCCAACACCACATTAGAACACTATTTACATTATTCGAACTGTTGTCCTCATCTTTGTTGCCATATTTATTACAACGTTTCGGCCATTGTACGTTCCAGCCTTATTCAGGTGGTTGGAATGTCGAACTGAACCCTTTATTTCACTCCCTGGGGTAGACTGTTCTAGTTCCACGTGCCATGTTTAATGGATGTCAGTTATCAGTTATCTCCTGTTAATTCCCCTTTCCATGTTTAACCGGGTATTGAACTTACACTCTTTGGGTCCTGTCACTGGATCTAACCAATGCCTTTATCCACTGTGCCATGTGTCCTTGAGAACATCTGTGTCTGAATTTCTGGGTATTATAAACCTAACATCTCAGCAATCATTTTTTACTAGTGCTCATATTGCAAATTTTTTTTTTTACTGTTATCAATCCATGTTTTTACCAATGCTCATATTGCAATTTTTGTTGTTATTATTGCTTTTCTCTGGCGCTCCTTATTATTGGTTCTCATATTGTATTCATTTCTATGCTTGGTCGACTCAGGAGATTTTTGTGGCCTAGCACATGTGCTGATTCCTTAAGTTTATGAATTTTCCAATAGTGTTCTTTGTCTATGATCTCAACCTGATTCCACAGAGGATGGTAATCTCCCTTTTCTCTCCATATGTTGTCAGCCACGCCTGATTTTCCCACTTCCCCTTGTGTTACAGACAGATACCACATAAGAACCAAATAATAAATAATACTTGTTTTATTGTTTCCATGTCTTGCTGTTTCTCATTTTTACAAGTATTTTTGTATATATAAATGTTAGGGGTGGGGGTCATAATTATTAACTCCCCTACAATATACATACATATTTGTATGTGCACCCCATGTAAAAAAATTCACATTGTGTCACATTTCGCCTTAGTGGGGAGGCTGGGTAAATAAATATATACACTTCAAATACCATGGTGTATGAAACAGTAATAACCAATTTAATATTTAGTTTTCCAATCTCAATAGGTTATTTTATGCCAACAAGATTTTTAAGATAGGTTTTATATGAATAGAATATGTATTCTTTATAAGAAATCACTTTGTAGATCAGGGTTTGGGTTTATTTTGTTTTACGGCATATCAACACCTCAATGGGTTATTTAATGCTGACAAGATTTTTAGGATAGATTTGTATGAATAGAATATGTATTGATTGTAAGAAATCAGTTCGTAGATCAGGGTTTGGGTTTATTTTTTTTTATGGCATATCAACACCTCAATGGGTTATTTAATGCCAACAAGATTTTTATTGCTGGTAATAATTTTTTTCCAAAAATGTATTGTTGGTAATAAAACCTATTTTTACACTTTTGTAGTGTTTTGAACCCAGTTTGAGGGTTAACTATTTGCCCATAGCTGGGAGCCTAAAAGGAACTACCACAGGTGTACCTGTGTTATAGTGGAACACACCTATTCTATAGTTAATAGACTCTCCCACCTATAATAAGTAGGAGTAGTAAGAGTAACGAGTCAGTCGCAAAGTCGCTCAGTGAGTTGGTCAGTCAGTCGATGCCAGACAACCGTTAGTCAGATATTAAAGTATCAGCCACCATTACTGCGTTATACCTATTACATGAAGTTCCTAATGTTTTGTACGTCAAACCTATTTTAAGACCTACTTAGTACAAATACAAGCCTCCACTGTGAAATCACTCCATAAAAACCTGGGAGCATCAGCAATTAAGAGGCGATTCCATGCTCATCAAAAACTTCTGAGCAGAGGCCTTGCTGCCAGATGTTGTTTATCATCATACCCAGGATGCAATTGTAAATTAAAATCATACAGTTTTATTTATTTTTGTGTACTGGTGTGTTTGTATTTTAGTTAAAAGTGTTTTAAAGTTGCATGTGATAAAGGAAGAAAGTCACTTCATATTACAACAAGCAACGTACCGAGGAGAGGAGCTGGACGTCTTGACCTTCCAAAAGTCGTTAACAACGAGAATGAATTCAGTGTCTTTTGTTGCAAAGTCTGTTTGCAGTCTGGAAAAGTTTCTCTTGCATTCTAGAAGAACTTTTAGTATTTTGGTTTGTTTACTTTATTTTAAACAAAGTTTTGCAAGGCAACCATGCTAACCTTTTATTTTTTAATTTATTTTATTTTATTAGGAGGCACAGTGGAGTAGTGGCTAGTGGCTCGGATTGAGGAATTGGAGAGCCGAGTTCAAATTCCAGTGAAATCCATTATATTCACTTACAATGCTAATACCCTTGGGAAAGGAATTAATCCTCTTCTCCCTCCAGCTATGGCTAAATAGCAGAGACTGGGTTCTATAGCCTTGGATGGCAACTAGTCTAGGAGAAGAACAACTCTGAATTCAAAATCTACAGAGGATTGTTTGAGGACCTTGTGGCACATAGTGCACCAGTCTCTGTATTCAGCTCTTCAAAAAGTAAATAAACCTTTCTTCTAGTATCCACTTGGTGTTATGTGTTTATTCTCTCAGCACTGAATATAACAATTATATATTGTTGTAACTTAGGGAAGATACTGAATAGAATAATCAAACATTGGTTGGTAATGAACGATAATACTTAGGACAAGAACAACACATATAAGATTTGCCAGCAGTGCACAGAAGAAGTAGTCAACTGCTAGGAGTCAAGTGAATTCCACAATGAATCTCCAACTGCAGGATATCTACCAACCACCACATGCAGTCAGATGTGGCTCAAGACCGAATTTAATGTTGGGTATCCAAGCCTATAGGCTCAACCAAAAATTCTCCGTAGACCCTGTATAAAACAGGGTCAGGTAGCTGTTTCATGAGATGAGACTCTGCCCTTTGACATAGCCTTGTCTGGGGATCCTCTCTGCCCAGAGGCAAAGAGTTTGACCAGCACAGCTGGAGACAAATCTCCAACTGCAGACCAAGAATTAATATTTACTACTGTATTTATGTGAATGGGGACATATCTATTATTGTCTGTAGATATGCTACAACATATATATATAATTATTATTTTGTAGCAGTTTTACTGTGACATTAAGGCTGTGAGGTGGTTAAACATTAATTCTAAGGGTTAATCCTAAAATAAAATATAAACTGGAATATAGAAAGATAGAAAGAGAGAATGGAAACAGTTTCCTTGGTCAGAATGGGACCATCTGGATTTCTTCTCTCCTAAAGTTTATTTTTCTTATCTATTGAGAGTCTAGTATGCGGACAAAAACAGATTCCAAGAAATGGCTTTATCTGTTTCTTGAGAAATTAGGAAAACATATTTTAATCAGCGAAAATGAATTTAGGAATGAAAACAGAGAATGAACTCTTTTTCTTAGGGTTGAATTTATAAAGATCAATCAGGTTGTGCTAAGAAGGTGGTCTGGTTTGTGTTTTCACTGAGAAAGTGATCGGCCATGTGTGGCAAACAGTTTTGTCTCTTGTTTGAGAATTTAGGTAAACAAATATATTTTCATTATTTGCATTATTTGGACTATTGTCCTCATCTTTGTCGCCATATTTATCACAACATTTCGGCTGTTGTATGCTCCATTGTATGCTTCAGGTGATTGGAATGTCAAACTGAACCCTTTATTTCGCTCACTGGGGTAGACTGTTCTAGTTCCACGTGCCATGTTTAATGGATGTCAGTTGTCAGTTATCTCCTGTTAATTTCCCTCTGAAAGTTCTCCACTGCCTTAACCAGATATTGAACTCACACTCTTTGGGTCCTGTCACTGAATCTAACCAACACCTTTATCCACTGTGCCATGTGTCCTTGAGGACACATGGCACAGATATATTTTCATTGATGAAAGCAGATTGGGAAATAATTTGTTGATGAAAGCAGATTGAGAAATAATTTTTATCTGTTACTCAGAAGGTTAAAATAAGAAGATGATCTGGTTTGTGTTTTTTTTTCATTGGGCAGGTTTGTCCTTGAAAGGAGTCAAAGAATTGAATAAAGAGACTAAACCACATCCATTTTTTTTTTCACACTTTGAAAATTAGATTTGTCACAAAGACAGCTATGCCAGTCTGAGAAGTGGGCAGGGTTAGAATACCAAGAAGGAAGGAAGAAGGATCAGAATTTGGACCTGTCTGTGCAAAGTAGCAGTGCAAGATGTTAAGTAAAGCAGGTTAGAGTTAAGGGAGAAGCAATCCCTGTAACTATTCCCAACGAAGGTGAATGATTCTCCAAATTTGGAAAATTGACTAAGAAAGCAGAAATAGGGAACAAAGAAAACCCTTATTAGAATTAATGTAAAAATTAAAGAATCAACGAATCCCAAGAACCCTTCAGTCCCACGCCAGTTTTAGGCCAAAGTGCATATAAGCAGATGACTTTGGGGCGCTCATAAACATTGGGCTGAGAAGCCGCACTGAGTGCCTCTGGAATCCACATCAGCTGCCACTAGAATTCCTGATTCTAAGACTTTGAAACCCAGCCTTCCATAAGTTTATACAAGGCCCAGTGCCACTAGAGAGATTGATACAGGAATGGTTAATTTTTATTGTACCAAGAGCCATATAAATTTTTTTGTCATGAAGATATTTTTTCTTAATATAACACCCATCACAGCTTGACCAGCACTGCGAGACTATGACTGTTGATTTTCCACTGCTGTAAAATCAAGAACACATGGACAGAGACGGTGTGGATCAAAGTGGCAAGCAACTAACAACCAACTTGGACCAGTGTCACCATTGACCAGCACAGAGTTAGAGTTAAAATTGTGTCCTAAGATCCTGAGGTCCAGACCACTAAACACAGTTATACCAGTGAGTGTAGGTGGCAGCCAAAGGCGTTATATTAATTAGTGAACTTGACCAAGGATGTGACCCTGTTGGTGGGGGTACTATAGAATTACTTGCAAATGAGAAAGTGATTGTCAGTGGTCAGGAATGAATGCAAGCATGACTGATAGAAGATATGTATAATTATTATTTTGTAGCAGTGTTTTACTATAGGAATGCATTGCAAATGAGGAAGAAAGGGATTGTCAGTGGTCAGGAATAAATGCAAGCATTACTGATAGAATAGGGCTATTATATATATAATTATTATTTTGTAGCAGTGTTTTACTATAGGAATGCATTGCAAATGTGGAAGAAAGGTATTGTCAGTGGTCAGGAATGAATGCAAGCATTACTGATAGAATAGGGCTATATATATATATATATATATATATATATATATATATATATATATATATATAACTAGCAGTATAACTTGTCTTTGACCAGGTGTTTCATTACTGGGAATTTTTGCTGTTCAATTAGAGCAGTTTAAGTTTAAAGTAAGCCCACCTGAAAATCAATATTAGTAACAACAATTGGGTGCAACTAAGGCACATCCCCAAATGGGGGGTTAACAATTTGAATAAGGGTCGCCCTGAAAAGGGCCGTTTTTGCATTGCAATCTTGCAAGGAAGGAACCACTTCCATGGACCATCATAATAATAATATACGATAATTTTTATTTATAATATAATTTTTTTTATAATTCTAATAATCTTCTGTGTTAGATTTCAACCCTCTAAATTGATTGCATGCTGTTTTTTATAGACATTATATTTTGCCTTTGATTTTTGCACAAAGTGTAAAAAATCAGTTTTTTCGATTTTTCAACTTCAAGGTTGTAATTTTTTCCAGCTAATTTGGGCTTAAAACCAGCACTGAAGAATTATCTATCAAGTAAAAAAATTCATCAAAATCGAACAAAAACTGTGGAAACACATAAACAACATCCGATCACGCACACATGGACACATACATACACACACACACACATTTTGAAAATTATAGATATAGATAATATTATTGTAATAATTTAAACTATTTATTTTTATTAAAATTTTTATGAAAGATATATATCCAAGAACAGATAGTAAATAGTAAAACATTGCTGAGTGTTATAATGAACAGGAAGTAGTGGAGACCCATTGTCACCAACAATTTGGGCTCAAAACCAGCACTAAAGAATTATCTATGAAACAAAAAAAATTCATCGGATGAAAACTGTGGAAACACATAAACAACATACGATCACACACATTTTGAGAATTATAGATATAGATTTTTATTTTGTAGCAGTGTTTTACTATAGGAATGCATTGCAAATGAGGAAGAAAGGGATTGTCAGTGGTCAGGAATGAATGCAAGCATTACTGATAGAAAAGGGCTAATATATGTATAATTATTATTTTGTAGCAGTGTTTTACTAAAGAAATGCATTGGAAATGAAGAAGAAAGGGATTGTCAGTGGTCAGGAATGAATGCATTACTGATAGAATTATGTATAATGACATTTTTATTTACACATGATTTTTAAAATGTTTTAGTTTGTAGTACTTGTGAAGAAAAAATTTACAAGTTTATATTAATTTAGATTTTGGAAAATGAAAAAATTAGATTCAAATTATAACTGCCAACTTGTGTAATTTTAGTAAACTGATCACGCAAACCCCGCTAATCCTGCAATTTTAAATTATTTATTTGCGAAAATATACAAAATATGACACAAGAAGGCCTAAAATGGGAAGACTTGTTCCTCATTGTTCTATTTTTTTTTTTTTTTAACTAAGTCTCAATCACTGATTCAATTCTAAATCGTTTTGATTTTCCTATCCCCAAAACAAAAAACTTCATACATACACTTAAGTCACTAAAAATCGTACTACTAACTACAGTCACCATAACACCGCAATTTCCCTATGTAGTCCGACAAACTAGTCATGTACAATTTTGTGTGGAGGGGTCAAAACCAAGCATAGCTTTAGTTTTAAACACTTGGTCACAGATATGGAGCACCTGGTAAGTAACGAATTCTAATTCACTATTCAATTGGAAGCGATTTACTAAGTGTCGCTTAAGGCCGAAATTATGGCGCGCCCAATGAGGTTTGAACTCACTACTCGGTTGTAATTGGTCTCCACGGCTACAAGCAGGGACGGATTTAAATGGAGACTCTACTAGTCTAGTCCATTGGCATTATTCCACTTCTAAGACCCCTCAAAATGCCGCATTCTCACTAGTTGAGGAAAATAAAAGAGTATTTAAAACGATTTGTGTTTCCTTGAGTAAAGCCGAGAATGATGACTGGTGTTTAAAATTACTGAAAGGTTGTTTACGGTCACTAAATGCGTTTATGACAGCATGTGTAGGCCCTGACGACAGTATCAATTCAAAAATTATACAATTTGGCTGGAGACCCCCTAGAGTATGAGGTGCTCGGCTTCAGCTTCCTAAGCATATAGATAAATAAATCTGGCACTGGTTACAAGCTTGATTGCTGATCATTACAAAACGTCAAAGCGACCCCACTGTTCAATTTAAAATCAGCTATGAAACCGACATGCTAACCATTACACGACGGCGTGTAAGTTATTTACGCATGGGCAAGTTAGTTTCGTACAAAATGATAACCAAAATTTTAGTAAATGATGAAATAATCTATGACATACAAAATATTTAATTCATTAAATACAAACGCATTTAATGAAATTATTGTTAATTACAATAAAATGCAAACCACGTTTTTTCCATGTTCGAAACTAAAGATGCTAACTCCACTTAGAGAGAAAATCACACATGGTTTGATTTATAAAAGATAGCAACACACGTAAAGAAAGTTAATGTTAACTTTGTATAAAGTGTATATTTAAACTTTATCATTGAAGTTGCATTGTTAAAAAATACGATAGTTAGAATTTATTGCGAACTAAATTTTATACACTTTATTTGCGTGAAATAGTCGAAGTACAACTTTCTTACCAGTACCTCAAGCAAGAAGAAGAAAGATATTTTCACCGCTGAGGCCTTAAATGTTACCAATTTGTAGCATAAATGGATTTGCTACAAGAAGACAACGTTCAAGAAGATATTAATCCTAATTCTGATTCTTTAGCAGACAACACGATCGAAGAAAAAAGTTCGAGTTTTGAAAATAACAACCCAGGCGAAGAAGATGTTAAACTTGCAACTGTCTCTTCAACAATTACGAGTGAGAATGATTCACTCCAGAAACCAGATGATGATCCTGAAAATAACAACCTTGTAGAATTTGTTGCTGATTCGGAAGAAGGCCATGAGGCTCGAATCTCTAGTATCAGGATGATGACGACAGAAGAAAAGCAAGAAGAAAACACGTTTTCCTCCGGTGTTAAGCCATTTGGTTTTTCTTGTGATAATTTGAAACCTTGTAGCGACGATGATTCCGTTGATAGTTCGAGCGATTCGTCGACTTCATCGTCGTCGTCATCATCTTCATCTTCTTCTTCTTCTTCCTCAGAAGATGAAGACGATGAGATGGACGATGAGGAAGAGGAACGGAACAACGACGAAGACAAGCTTCCCAATGTTTCCTCAGGAGAAAAACAAGAACCTCATGAAAATGGAGATTCCAAGATTCCCAATTTTCCGACTTATAGAAATATCAATGACGTAGATTCCGACGACAGTTCCAGTGATTCGTCGTCATCGTCAGCTTCTGAAATTGAACATAACAACGCGGGCACCGAACGGAAACCAAATCATCCTCCTCACGACAGTGACAGGTGAGTTTAAAAAAATGTGTAATAAATTTTAATTAAAAGTGGAGGAGATTTTCTTCTTAAAGCTAGAATTTTAAAATATTATACATGATTATTCGGCAATATTCAAACTTCGTGCCCACAAAAAAAAACGGTGTGTCAAATCTAAAAAAGATGGTTATTCCCTTGACGCCGCTACACTTGACTACCTCGAAAATGTTTATTTACAAGATCATAAAAAATATGTAAACCAAATCTTCTTATTTTATGTGCCGTGTCCCTTCAGGGAGCAGGTGATCATGGCCCTCCACCTCTTCCTGCCGCTTGTAGCTCTTAATAAGTTTTATCTTTTTGTTCTCCCAGACCCTGTTTCACCACCCACTTGCTCAAGCCCATTATGTCACACGTTGCTTTCCCGTCTCTCTTTCCCTCTATTTGTCCTGTGAGTATCAGATTTTCCAAGCCCTCCTTCCTCAATACGTATCCCAGAAACTTCAACTGCCTTTTCCTGATGTTATGAGTTTCCTCTTTGTTTCCATTCGCCCCAAAAACTTGTTGCTCACATGTTCAGCCTCTACGGTATCCTTAGCATCCTTCTGTAGAACCACATTTCACTTGCTTCAAGTCTCTTCTTCGTCTTTTGAGGAAATTGTTTAGCATTCATTGCCATATAGGAGAAAACATGTAATAGTTTAGTACTCATTTCTATGTTTCCAACAAAACAAAACTTTCCTGTCTCGTAATATTGCATTGTATTTGGTTCGCATATTTTATCTTTAAAACATAAATAATAAATTTTATTATTTAACTTTTTATAAAGATTTATTAAACCATTTTATAAAGATATTTATAAAGATTTTTTTTTTTTTTTTTACTGGTTTCTTTCTTATTTTTGTTGACCTTCTAACCAGTTTTCATCAAACTTAACAATTGCTTTATAAATGTATCCTCTTTTACATCCCTGGTAGCACACTGACAAATTGAATTTCAAAAACTCGAAAATAATTGTGGCCTGTAGTGGTCTTCATGTTGCCTGTTCTACTATTTCTATATATATAAAATTTAAAGAAAAATAGACCACATTAAGGGTCCATAGTAATAAATTATTTCACCAGAGACTTTTATCTTTCCCTGGATCTTCAGACATCACTTTCAAAAGGTGAAACGAAAAATCTATATACATATAAATATATATAGTTAAACCTAGAGAGCCAGACAAACCTACCAAGGTTTCACCTAAGCGGATCATCAGGGAAGGCTAGCTAACAAGGTAAAGAAAGAACGGATTATATAATCAATAAACAAAAAAACCATAACCCCATGACCAAAAAAAAAAAAAAGACCCAACCAAGATGATTCAAGAGTACCGTGTATTCAAACGAAATTTTGAATAAATGGTACTCCCCAATCCTCTTGTTTGTTTGTTTTTTTTTTTTTTTTTAATCATCCAAAAATAAAATATACTTTTTTGAAACTATAGTGGAAAAATACAATTTACACATAGTTAGAGATAACAAATTAAAACCAAATTTATACAATTATTAGAAAACATATATCTCTAACTACACACCAATTTTCATCTAAGTCACTCTGCTCAAAACAAATTTTAAAACAAACACAAAGATACAAGCCATTATCGACTCGACTCGCATTTGCCACAGATGCCTACAACTATGTCCATGCTTTTCCCTTATATAGACTGTAAGAGAAGTCGGACAGTAGTGCAGTGAACAAAATGGAGAGAGAGAGAGAGAGACACACACACACACTAACCATAGAGGGGACCTACAAAACACCCCATGACATAAAAATTCATAAAAGTTCCAATGTCTCTTTTTGTTTTCTTTTTTTCTCATTCATATATATATATATATATATATATATATATATATATAAAAAAAATATACGGAAAAAACAAAAAAAAAATTCTAATATGCAATTATGATGTTTTAATGTTAATATAATATCAACGACGGACGTTTCAGTCTAGTAGACCATCTTTAGGACATATTCATAAAACATAATTAACATTAGACTATATTTAATTCAACATGAAAAGACGATGGACATAAGAGTACGACTAATCAAACCAATGTTAATTATGTTTTATGAATATGTCCTGAAGATGGTTATACTAGACCAAACATCCGACGTTGATATTAACATTAAAACAGCATAATTGCATATTAGGATTTTGTTTGTTTTTTCCGTATATTTTTTTTCATACTGTCGGATCTATATCCATATATTTATAATATATATATATATATATATATATATATATATAATATATATATATATATATATATATATATAATATTTAGTTGGATTGATGTGAGTTTGTGACCCTGTGTTAAACAATATTTGTGATCATCAGACAAACTGATGAATTTTTAAATTTGGGATTTATATATGGTTCAAAAGATATCGGTGTTTTTTATGGTGGTGGGAGGGAAAAATTGTTGTTTGGGACACCACTCATACTTACACAAAAATACATACACTCACGCTCACTCATTTGACATATATATACACAATCATCATTAAATTCACAATGAAATTGATGGGGAGGAATGGACTAAAAAAGCAAACTAAAACAAAACAGATGTTAGCAGGACCTGTCTAACCCCCAAAATAATAAGAGTGGCCACTGTATTCTGCCGTTTGACAGAATCAAGCAGCACACTCACTAATGGAGTGGGAAGGAAAAATTAAACGGCAGAGAGGGAAAAATCAAAGTCTGACCCAGCCAAGATGAAAAAAGGAGACAAAAGCAAACTGGGGAGGCTTGGAATCTCGACATGGATCACACCAGGGACAGGCCCAGAATATAACTTATTCACATTAACTAGGAAAACAAATAGTGTCTAGCTTAACCATGAAAGGATTCACAGGAAATTACCCTGTTGAATTAAGGGGACTTAAAAGAGAAAATCAAGTCTAGCCCCATTCACATGAACCAGGCTCACCACAGATACCCACCTTTCACTAAAAGCCATTGTTACTAAACGCTTTCTATCAGATCTGATCTTTATCCTGAGCTGATGCACAAAGAATCCAACCAGATCCTGATGAGAATAACTCCCATATAAATAATTGTTATGGTTTTTGATATCCATACCACCATTAGCCAATTTTAAATAGCAACATGAGAAACACCATCTGTTTCACCACAGAGAACGGGTGACGCATCAACTCGCTGACATAGTCCCAGAAAGTGTGCACCTGAGGACTGTGGTAGACAGCATGTACAGCAGTTTCTTCTAAGCCAAGGTCACCCTGATGACAGCCAGGCAAATCTACCCCATCCCCATCTGAAGGCTACGTCATTGAGAGATAGCATGTTCCAAATCAATCACCAGGTCCATTAAAACTCAGGGTTAAAAGATAGTTATACTGGAGCCCAAGATCAGAAAGAATAAAACCCTGATAAATATAGCTGAGCCAGCCACAAAGAGGGTCCCTCACGAACCCCCTTTCCACTAATTCACAATACCATAGCCTACAAGGCCATGAAAGGTCACAACCAAGGAACGACTGTCAAGGCCGCTCAGCCTGGACTTCATTGCCAATCAGTGCTTTATAAATGCAAATCCTTTTCAGATTCTTGAAATTCATATCTGCACAGTTTCACCTCGAAACGAAAGCAAAGCAATTTCTAAAGAAGTAATGGATTTTTTATTTATTAATCCGACAGATTTTTATCACTTCAAATATTATTTTTAGTGGATAACCATATTTAAGTAGACACTCTTTTCATTTATTAAACCATATATATATTTATTTCCTTCTACCGGCCTGAATATTTGAGGAATCTTATTAAAGAAAAGATGCACCCTGTAGCAAGATTAAAACATGCATCCTCCTTACCAGTAGAAAGCATCATTAGATCCAATGTACTTTAGACCACCTCGACCACAAAATGTATCATTGATTGAGCAAAGCAGAATAGTGCTTCATAAACATAAATCTTTCCTCCCAAGTCTCAAATCATCCATATCTGCTCAATTTCATATCCTAATGTAAACAAAGCAATTTTTAAAGAAGTAATGGATTTTTTATTTATTAATCCGACAGATTTTTATCACTTTAAACATTATTTTTCGTGTACTCCAAATACATGAATTTAAGCATGCTACAAGAGTCCCACCCTTTTACTGTTGAAATAGCTAAATGCTACTGCCACTCCTACTCCAACAATTTCTTTTCTCGCACTTCCCACCTGTAGAACTCCCATCCATTTACTTGTTTGCCTGATAACTATAATCTTCAAAAATTTAAACGCAACGTCAATCGTCATCTGCTGCCTGAACCCTTGTTCATCTTTTGTCTTTGCCTCAATCTTCCCTATTCTCAGATTTCTCTTTTATTTTTGCTCCCTGTGAACCACATACTAGTGGCATTACTGACACTTGTTTGGGGTGAAATGATTAAAAAAAAAAATGTAGTAAATATGAAAGTTTATTGCAATGTTTAATTTTAACTTTATTCTTTTCCAGTGAAGACCGATCATCCAGGCCACGGGTAAAGGGAGAAATATTTCCAGAGGTTAGTTTTTTTTTTCTCTAAATATCTAAAAATGTGTTTATCTAAACTCTTTGTTATTCATACCATGTGTTAAAATTTCAGCAAACATGGACTGTCATGCCCACAAAAAATGTAGTGTCAAAAGGACCCTTCTTCCCATGACGCCACTTTTGTCTTAACTACCTACACTCTTCAGCAATGTTTATTGTTTTAAAAACTGATGATTAGAATTGTGATAAAACCTGTTTTGACTGGTGTTTTCTAGCAAAGAAAACTGAACATATTTGTATAATGTCAACCTTGTGCAGTAAGAAATAATCATCTTTTTTTTTTTTTTCTTTTTTTTTCCATATTAAGCACTCGAGATCACAGGTATCAATTTAAAAAAAATTATTTTTATTTGTTTTATTTTTTTTAATAAATTTTATAAAAGTGATGGTCCAGTTTGCTATGTAAATTCATTATAAATATCCCCCCCACGCACACACACAAGGAAGCCAAAGCAAAATTATTGTACAACCCCACTGAAAACTTTTTAATTTTCATGGAATTCCATTTTTTTTCTTTCCTCTTTATTTTCCAAATGATCTATTCTCAATAAATATATAATTTATATTTTAACTTTTTTTTTTTTTTTTTTTTTTTTTTTGTAGGAGTTACCTGCCCTTGAAAACCTCAATGTTTCTGTTGATGATAATGTTGACTTAAAGTTGCTTGGAAAAATTACTTCAGTTATAAAGAATATTGGTAAGGAACAAAATGTTTTTGAGTTTCATTAATGCTTTGTATTTTATATTTTACCATTGTTTGTACTGATGCATATTAAGTTGAATTTTACCCTTTTTTTTCACCTTCCCTAAATTAAACAGTATAATCTTGTCAGAGGCATTTTTAAAAAAAATAAAAATACAACCCTAAATGAAGTTCTTACTCTAGTCCAGTGTTTCTCAACCTTTTTAAGCAATGGCACACTTAGGAGCAAATGAGAATATCATGGGACACTTAGCAAAATTTTTAAAGGGTAAACATTTAAATGTTATGAAATAAAACCATAGATTAAAAAAAGTACACACAGACAAATCTAAATTTACTTTATTTCAATGTTTCTATTCAACTATTTGTGCAGCTTATTTAAGGTGAAACCTGTGCCTGATTTTTTTCGCAATTTCTTCAATGTTTGGTCAAATGTATCATAAGCAGACCCTCATTTCTTCTTCAGTTGAATATAGTCTTTCTCGCTTCTTATTTTTGACTAGCAGTAAAGCCCGGCATTGCCCGGGGATGTAACAGTAAGAGATAGGTCAAGTATCGACCATCATAAAGACTGAAAAATAAAATTGACAAAGATTATTGTTTTGTTTAAGGTTGACGGACATGCATGTCTTAATTATTTATTTTTTTTACGAATTGGTCAAACCCAAACTCAAACAAAAACATTGTTTTCAATCGTTATGAGTCTACCGATTGAATAGAATTTTAGAATTTTATTATAAACAATTGTCTTGTAAATGGAATTTTTAAAGCATTCTGAATGTAAAAATAAAGAAAAAAGTGTGCAAGACAATAAGAAACACTACCTGCCAAAAAGAAAGTGAAGTTTTGTTGAAATTGGTTGAAAAATGTAGGAAATCTGATCCCATATATAAACAAACTCACACACACACAAACAACCTGGGTTTTATAATAAGTATAACTTGATATGAGTTGTCCCCATTTCATTCACGCAACAGAGATGCCTCTTAATCGTGTTTTCAAATTGATTTCATGCAAAAACAATTGTGTTTTTCCAGTTTTTGGCACTGTCAGAACCACCGCAAGGTAATTTTACGTAGTCCTGTGAAGTTTTGTTGAAATTGGTTGAAAAGTGTGGGAAATCCGATCCAATATATAAACGAACAGACACACACACACAACCTGGGTTTTATAATAAGTATGATGTTATTTAGGGCTGAGAAGCCGAATTCACATAAATAAGAAGTAGAAAATTGCAATATAACTGATAAAGCCTTTTTACCTAATGTTGGATATTCCTTTTGTATTGAAATTCAAAATGTATCAATGGATATCGTCAAATGTTTTATTTGAGCCCTAGAAATGGTGCCCAATTCTTCTTCACATAACCGAAGTCCAATATTAGAAGGAAGATTTATGAAGTGATTTTGAAATCAATCATACTTTTCTGTGCTCAGTGACTGAAAATAATGGTCAATATTTTCGTCGAGCGCTTTTGAATGGGTAACTTTATTACTTTCACACATGCACACCTTTGTGCAGATTAATTGAAACAACCACTTTAGTTTCCTTTCTTTCACCATGCGGTCAGTTTTAGATCCACTGGAGTGACAGGGTGTAATCAATTTCCATTTTTTTCTCAGATTAGGTCATTTGCAGTAGTGTGCAGTAATATGAATCTATTTTTGGGGTGTATGATAAAATTTGTTTAGCCTTGAAAAATATTGTGTCATCTGTGATTACATCAGATTTTTATTGTCTTGACTGTCGATTAGTTGTCCTACAGCCATTGTCTGCAATGAACGTTACTCCAAGGTAGCATGTAAAAATTGCACAAACACACTGGCAAGCCTTACCAGTGAGCAAATCAAAGTACTATTGACTGACCCAGAATTTCTTCTGATTTAAATCCAATCGAAGCTGTGGTCAGTCTGCAAGGAACGACTTCATAAAATGGACATACAAAGTACTAACGAAGTATTGGAAAAATACAAAAAAAAAGTAAATAATAACGGGATTATTTGTTTTGTTTCAATAAATTTGCACAAGAGTGTATACATACACACATACATATGTGTATGTATATATGTATGCCATGACAATATTTTGCAGTACACTAGTGTGTCATGGCATGGTAGTTGAGAATCACTGCTCTACTGTGACCAATGAAAAACAAACACAGAACTAAAAGTACTAGAACTTTCCATAACTCATTCCCCAAAAATTCTGATAAAGCTTAAAGAAAATTAAAGATTACCACCAACACATTTTTATAGTAAAATTACCAACAATACATTTTATGATCTACAAACTATATATCTAAAAAACATACATTTACCCTGAAAATGTAAAATTATGTATAAAATTGAATGCATATAAAATTGCATTCAAAATACTTAGATTTCAGCATTCAGTCACCCATAGAGGTGTTGATAAGCTGCTGAACAAAATCAACCAACAACTACCATTCTGTTGGATTTTAATCCATATTTGATTACTATTCCTGTAGGACTTTATATATAGATTTCTTATATATATCAATAATTTTCAGGAAGCTGCATGGTCGTTAGGAAAATAACTCATTGGTGGGGTGGGGGTGGGGTATCCAAATCACTCATAATATCCGATTCATCAGCAAAAATTTTTCTTCTCTGTCAGTACTTTTTCCTCAGGAAGAAACCCGTCAAATTCTGCTTCGGTTTTGCTGTCTGATGTGGTTCTTGGAGTACTGGTCAAAATCCTATTTAAAAAAAAATAAATAAATAAATAAAAATAAAGAATATTTCTAATATCAAATTCCATTGATAGATGACAAACTTTGTTAGATGGGAAATGAAAACTATTTACACACTGATTGAGAGCTGCACTAAAATAGATGCTATTATTTTGTTTATTTTTCCTAAATTCATAGCATCATTATTCAGTCAAATATTTTTTGAATTATTTTAATGACATTACACTATCTTTTAGTTATATTGTATATTTCATGAGATGATTTCCAACAAAAGTTTCTGGACCATGTATGCTATAATTGTATGTTTTATGGAAATGCGTGAGCTGCTATTCCTCATTGTACCCAGCCTACTGGGTCAGTTTGCCAATTACTATCTACTTGTGATCACATTCTTAGAACTTAAAATATTTTCCGGCATTAAATAACCTGCAACAGGTTGATAAGCTGTAAAAAAAAAACAAATCAATCAAATACTGATTAGTTATGCAGGCATGCCTTCTCTGCATATAAATATATAGAAATTACCCTGTCCAAAAAGTGAGGGATCACTTTATATATTGATTGTATAAAGAATTGATCTCCCATTTTATATACAAATTTATTTTTTTATTTTTTTTGTTTGCTGTTAGAATTCTGATTAGGTATAAATTCACCACTCCACCCCCCAGCTATGTGTTAATTAATACAACTTGTATCACTAAAGCCATTATTATTTTTTTAAAAAAAATCTTATCTAAAAATATTTTCTAGCGTTAAATGACCTGCAAAGGGTTGATAAGCTATAGAAAACAAAAACCAAAATCCTCTCTTGGGCCACATGTCAGCATTAGAGGTATCTGGTTTTCAGGCAAAGAATTTTGGAAATTCAGATTAATTAGAAATTGTACATCAATGTCAGGGAAAAGAAAAATGGTATTTAATTCTTGAAATGTTAACATAATCAAAGTTTTTATTTTAATTTTATGATACATGTGATGAATATTGGAAGTGAATGTGTATCTACTGTTAGTTTATCTGTAAATGATTGGATCTTTGATCATCTGTGGCTGGTTGCTGCATTGTCCATGGTGGGTGGTAAATATATTCCTGGTATATATGCAATACTGTAGTTCCGGAGATGTCAAATGTCCCCACAATTTCTGAAATAAAATGTCCCATCCATCTGGCACAAACTATCATGTCCCATTCAAACATCAATAATTTGTTCCCTTACCATGAGCAAACTAGCTGGACATTTCCATGACATCAAGGTATGGGGGCATCACCTAACATTTATTGATCTCATAACTTTTGGCACGTCAGTGTTTTTTTTTTTTTGTTTTTGTTTTTTAAGCTTAAACCTAAGTAAAAAAATTATTATCTGAATTTTTTAGATAAGAGTTATTGTTATTTACATTCAGAATAGTGCCTGCTGTTGTTATCACAATGTTTCAGCTGTTGTGCCAGCTGGCCGCCTTCAGGTGCTTCTTGATTTGGGTTATGATCTCTGACCTTTTTCAGGTACTTGTTGACCTGAGTAAGTTTCTTACAACCTAAATGTTGAATATTACATTGTTTATAGTCCAACAACTAACTATAGATCATAATAAATCCACTTTTCATCGCCAGTGACCATCTTTTTTCCCAGTAGATTCTCTTTCGGTTGAGATGTTGAAGGATGTCCTGGATGTAGACACAATTTTCTTCCTTTTGCATTTTCACAATAAATCCTTGAGCACAGGTGCTTAAATAAAATTAATTTATTCTCACTTGCCGTACAATTGAAAATGTTCAATCCTTTGTTATTTTGAAAATTAATTTTTAATTTTTATTTATTTGCAGCTGTTGCCCGAGCAGAGTTTTCATCCCCCATAGATCAGGATAGTATGATATTTCTTAAGGATCGGAATTGTATCGGCAAGGTAAGGGCCTCGTGTGTTAGCATTTTTTAATGAGTTAATATCTTCACTTAAATACACAATAAGTAAAATGATGATGAGGATTTAAGTTTTCTGTTGAAATTCCAGTTTTTATATGATCACCAAAGTTAAGCAGCATCGAGCCTGTTCATCACCTAGATGAGTGACTGGTTGGGAATATCAGGTGCTATATCCTTGAACATGCAAGGGGGTGGGTAATAGATAACCGTTTGAAATTGGAAATCAGAGGTCCACATTCCAATTTCAGTTGCGTTCGTTATATTCACTTATGTGCAAATTCCCCTGGGAAAGGCATGAATACACCTCTTCTCCTCCCAGCTATGGGTTAATTAGTAAGACTTGTATCACTAAATCATTATCATCTCAAAAAAAAAAAAAACTTCTTACAATGTAAAAATATTTTCTGCTTTTAAATAAAATGTTTGTTCACATATGATCACTGAAAGTTAAGCAATGTTGAACCTGGTCAGTACCTAGATGGGTGACCACTTGGGAATACCTGGTACTGTCAGCCTGAATGTGCAGGTTGGGTAACTGATAATGTCTTGGAATTGCTTATCTGAGAGCCGAGTTCCAATTCCAGTTGGGTTCGTTATAATTACTTATGCCCAAAAACCCTTGGGAAAGGTATAAATCCACCTCCTCTTCCCCCAGCTATGGGTTAAATAGTAAGACTTGCATCTCTAAACCATTATTATCTAGAAAAAAATAAAATCTTACAATCTAAAAATATTTTATAGCTTTAAATAACTTGCAAAGGGTTGATAAGCTGTAGAAAATGAATTGGTCAAAACCAAGCTAGTAATGTTTCAACACCTGAGCTGATACCAAATTTGATCCAATCCTGATGAGCAGTTGTACCTTCAGTGAGGTTACTTAACCTCGAACATCTGTTGTAACTAAAGCTCACACTAAACCTCAAATGGAACTCAAATATTATCATCATCACTAAAGATATTGGAGGAAAAGTCGGTCCTTTGTGCTGTTCTATTAACACTTTGCCTGACCTGCACATCATACGTGATGCACAGAACATGTGATTTTCACATCTGTGCATCACATGTGATGTACATGAGCCATGATTTTAAGGATGCTTAAGAAAAGTGTCTGCTGTTGAGCAGGGCATCTGAGGAAAGGCCTAATCTAATATTTTATGCATCATATATGACCACAGGGCTGTAGAATAACAACACTTACTGGCGTAAGGGTCCCAGCTAGCAGACAAAAATAAAGCAGGTTGTAACTCAATACAAACCCCGCAAACTGACTGGAATCAAGCTGGTATTTATACAGAAATACCTCCACTCATGTACCAGCAGCCAATCACAGCCCAAGCAATGGACTATCCCACTTGAGCACAATGAGATGCTCCATGGCACCATAAATAGCTCTCTTTCTCAAGGTGGTGGTTTTTTTTTTTTTTCAGCTTGTTCCACAACTGAGTGTTTATCTTTACAACGTGATTGTTCTACAAGGGCATTTGCCTGTTTTCTGATTTATAACTACTGCAAGACAACTCAGCTTATTTGGCAAATGGAATGTGCGGATATATATTGTTTCACATAATAAAAACCTGTGCATCACATATGATGTACTGAGCATAGTACCATCCGGGGTATGATGATAAACTATATCCATGTCCTAGGTAAGACAATAAGCTACATCCGACAACAAGACCTCTGATCATGAGGCTTTTTTTTCTTCAAATATTTAAGTAAATGCTATGTTTATAATAAACAGTATTAACAACATATACCAGCCTGAATGTCTGAGAAATTGTCATAGAAAATATGCGTCCTCCAACAAGAATCGAACCTGTATCCTATGCGGAACCGTCATATAGCCTGACGTGCTTTTACCGATTTCACAACTGAGGTTTATGGTTACAAGGTCGATTTTATTGTTTTTAAACTACAATCTTCCATGATTCTCTCTTTACATTCATACCTGCTCAATTTTGTATCCAAATGTAAACAAATGACATCACACATTATGAAATGGACAAAGTCTGACAATTATTTTAAGACATTTTTATGTTTATACATTCTTTTTTTATAGATACAAATATTTAAGTAAATGCTATTTTTATAATAAACAGTATTAACAATATTTATCAGCCTGAATGTCCGAGAAATTGTCATAGAAAATATGCATCCTAAATTGAGCAGATATGAATGTACGTGAGAGAATCATGGAAGATTGTAGTTTAAAAACAGTAAAATCGACCTTGCTAACTGAACTCCTCTGTGGTGAAAATAAACAATATTTATAAGGACTTGTTCCGTATAGGATACAAGTTCGATTTCTGTCAGAGGACTAAAATAATTGTAGGACTTTTGTCCATTTCATAGAATTTATAGTGTAATTATTGCCAATTATCTCTAAGTTTAATTATTATTATGATTTAATATTTTTTTCTCTCTGTATCTCAATATCATTAATAAGAAAATGGAAAGACCTGTGAAAACTTTACAGTTTTCCTATGAATCATAATTTTCAGTTAACAATTGAATAAGTGCATAACAATAAAATATCTATAGAAATTCCCCTATCACATTATTAAATATTTGAGCTTAACTTTCACAAAATATTGCAGTAAGAATCATAAATTCGAATGTTGGTCATTATTTTAAGAAGTAAGGGGGTACAAATGAAAAGATTTGAAATTGACTTCTTTTTTTCCATTTCACTGAAACAGACTTTCAACACTTTTATCTTCTTTCATTCATTTTCTCACTGAAACTAAGTAGCGTATGTCTTTTGTTTGACTATCTTTTCAAAATGGAGCAGCCATTATATATGAGGTATTGTCAGGAGATATTAAACACTTCTAGCTTCTCTCCTTGCTTTCTCTCATTCTTTCTAGCCAAATTCCCGTCTCATTAACATTTCTCTTAATATTTTGAAAATAATTCAGCAGATGGTATTTTATTTATGGTAACTGGATTTTTGGTGATTACCTTAATTGGTTTCTGTTTGATAACAGGTGTGTGAAAAATGGCAATTTTATCGCAGTAGCCATCATTTCTTGACCTTTTGGATGGGCTCAGTGCCCTCAGTATCTGCCCTCAGGCAGATAAACTAAATTACATTTCTCTTGTGTGTCTTTGGACAAAGCACAACTGAAAATATTTTTGAGACATGCTCGGTCTCAGGAAGCCGCTGCTCTTGGCTGTACCTCTAAAAAAAGAGGGATCTGTATTAATACTGATTACAGCACAACTGACAAATGAGGGCATTAGGCTGTTTTTGAACGTGGCTCGGATACACACGTTCGGACTCCCCACATTAAACTGACCTTGTGTCACAGTCTGCCAACATGGGTCAGGAAGAAAATATGATTGCTACTCAGCCTTTCGGCTAAGATCAGAGTGTAGCATCTGTTATCTGCTTAATCTGATTCTGCCTCCACTTCTATCTCCTCTTCTTCCCTTCATTTTCTCACTGAAACCAATTGTGTCTTTTCCCCTCTTTCCACTAGATCAAAACGGAATAGTCCATTACTTATGTGGTATTGGCGGGAGACATTAAACACTTCTATCTTTCCTTCTTTCTTTTTTCTTTCTTTCCTGCTGAAACCAAGTAGTGTCTTTTCCCCTCTTTCTTCACAATCAAAACGGAATAGTTCATTATTTACGAGGCATTGGTAGGGCGTAACGGTCGTGCGAACTAACAAATGGAGGGACAAGCACAATTATAATAGAATTATTTTTTAAGTTTTTTTTTATCTGTATCTCAATATCACTGATAGGAAATAGTTCAGTCAAGGGAAACAACTCTCTAATTGATCTGGAGTAATCTCCCTTCCAGTGACCCGCCGAATATAAAATCTGCTTTATTCTACAATTTATTTTAATGTTACTACGAATAATAGCAGTCCGAGGTATTGTTTTGCTACGTTAAGAAAACAAACCCAGATCTAAAGCAAATTAGTGATTGTAGCTTATCTATATATATTATCTATCTTAGTGCGTGCGTGTGTGTATGTATGTATGTGTGTGTGTGTGTGTATATATATATATATATATATATATATATTTGGTTGGATAGATTTTTGTATTGTTTATTTTGTGAAAAGTGTATATAAATATATATAAATAATTATATTATACATATATATATTTATTTATATTTATATACACTTTTTTTCATATATATATATATATATATATATATATATATATACAGTTAACTCCATGAAATCACTAAAAAAAAGAGCATAGCATGATGAAAAAGACACCAAACTTGACAAAAACAAAATTTTATCGACTAAATGTTTGTTATTATTAAGAGGAAAGAACAAAGTATTTTTTAATTATTTTTTTAAAAAATTTTCCTTCTTTTTAGAACATTCTAAATTTTGATTAAAAAAAAAAAAACTTGTTTCTCTTTGTATCAACGGAACTACTAAATAACACATAAAATTTTATCACGTTTCTTTTGTATGACAGACATTAATTTGGAAAATCTTGCAAAAATAAAAATAACTGTTGGATGTTAATGAAACTTTCAGAAAGTATTCACAAATGATGGGAATTACTATAACTGTTTTTTTTTTTTTTTTTTTTTTTTAAGTCATGGCAAAAAAAATTTTTTATATATATATTTATTCCCCCACCTCCAATAACTAATTTTATGAAAACTCTAGAAATTCAATACCATTCAATTTAGTGATTATATTAATTAAAAGCACAAGGCTTTGCAGAAAGTAAAGCAAATCATATATTTTGTTTGTTTCTTTTTTTTAATTGGATTCCCCCCGCCCCAAAAATCAGCTCTGAATTGTAACATACAAAACTCAATAAAACAAAGATATTATTTAATTTCAAATGCTTTTAATTGCTATTATGAATATGCATAATATTTCTGAAATGAATATTTTTTGGATTTTTTTTTTAAAAAAAAAAAAAAAAAAAATGAATTTTTAAAACAATTATTTGTTAGTTCTTAAATTATTTTATCATTAAAATTGTTAAATATTCTAAAATTATATGAAAAGGCATTCAGTTTAGTCAAAATGTTATTAAATAGATCTATTTTTACAATATTATAAATTGTATTTTTTAACAATCAGAAGACCCGCACTAATGAAGAAATGTAATTTTGTGTCCATAAAATGGTTGTAATTAAAAAGTACGGAACACCAGCAAGAATACAATTAAAAGTCGCATTATTTGGGTTAAGCATTGTTCTCCGATGTTAGGGCCTTTACTTTTGCAAAACATGTGGAGAAGTTAATTTGATTTTTCAATTTCAACTGAAAAGGGTACCTACAAGTGTTAGGTACTTATGAAATTTATATGATCTTATTTTTATATTAATCTCAGTTATGACACTTTTTCATAAATATGAAAATTAATAATAAAATGAATGGAAATACAAATAGCACAGTAAAATGTAATAAATGTACATAAAATTACACAAGAAAGGTACCTATAAATTAATTAGATACCTTTCTTATGAAATTTAATCTCACTCTCAACAGTCTTATTTTAATTTTTTTTATAATATATTTTCCATAAAGCATCATAAACGTAAAAGTGAAAGCTAAGTACAAAAAGAAAATAGAGCCCTGAAAGTTTTAAAAATAATCAGGTAAATAAGTTGGTTCACTTAAATGTAAATAATTGTCGCTTCTGTCCTTCTGTACGATAACTTTTTCTCACATAAGCTATCAATACGTGATGAAATCATCACTAATCACTTGTCAAAGTGACACCAAATGTTATGAACTGCTTTGTCTTATTTTTAAACTACATCTTTTTGATGTGGAAACTAAGTAATGATTGTTTCAAAATATTTTAAATAAACATTATAATTTCTAATTTTCTTAAAATAAGTTTTGAAAAAATTATAATTGATTTTTAAAAGAATTTGAAACAGATTTTCATTTTTTTTTTTTTTATATATAAAATAGAAAAAAAATGGTTGACATGATTGATTAGCTGCCAATTTTGCTGACGAAAAAAGCAAGATTTTTAACAAAAATTTCAGACATGATAGGAACGATTAAAAAATGTAAAAAAAAAATACCCCCCAAATACTTTGAGCTTTCCTCTTAATAATAACAAACATTTAGATGATAAAATTTTGTTTTTGTCAAGTTTGGCATCTTTTTCATCGTGTCATGCTATGAAATATTTTTTTTTTTGATCTCCTGATGGATATATATATATATATATATATATATATATATAATGTACTGAATTTTTTTTTTTATTTATCAGTCTATCTCTTTATCCCATCTTCTAGTTAATAAGTTAAAAAAGTAAAAGAGAATGATAAAAGTATCATTAGTAACACTATACTCATTGTGTAAACACGTACAGCCATAAACAGCTAAACATCTTAAACGTAAACAATGGAAAAGATGCATATTTGCTATGTTTGTATTTTGTAATACGATACTAATATGTGAATATTACATGCATTATTATTATATACAGTCAAGTAAAACATCAGTTTTATCAAAATCATGTTTATTTTTAATACAGCTGTACTTTTTGACTATAGTAAATGGATATATAGTTTGGTCAACAGCGTGGCCAGGGCCAGCAGTATATACACTAATTTTATTTCTCTATGATATGACCCCCACCTTAAAATTAGCATCAAAAGTTGCATGATACATGAAAATATATAGTGTGTGTGGGGATGGTGCATGGTTGAGTGGTTAGAATGGTGCTTTCCAACCATGGGAACCTGGTTCAAATTTCACCATGGTCAATTTGTCAGATTTTTTTAAAAATTTACTAGTTAAAATGCTGATTTAAAAAAGTATTAACTATTATCACTAAAACCTAAATATTTATGATTATTTCCTTCCAAAAATAGAGTAATCAATTTTGGCTTGGATTGAGGAATCAGAAATTCAACTTCAAATTCAAATTTTCATTATAAAACTTACATGCTAATACTCTTGGGAAAGGTGTGAATCCAACTCTTTTCCCCCCAGCTATGGGTAAATAGTATGACCAACTGGGTTCTCTAGCCTTGGGTGACAACCAGTCTACTGCAAATAGAAATGAAAAAAAAATGTCTTGAAGCAATTATTTTAGTTTTAATTTCAAACTCGTAGATTAAATATAATATTTACAATAAGCAATATATTTTGCTGTATTTCAAAATTAATTTAAATTGACTGGAAGGAGACTTGTTTTGAAATCACTAAAAATCACTGATTTTAGCAACATTTTTAGCTATCTTTCATCACAATGTAATTCTCTTTATTAAAAATTTTTTAAAATTAAAATATACTTTTCTGAAACTTTATTTGAGGAATATTAGCTGATTTAAAGTTTTGCCTGTTTTCATAACATCAGAAGACCAGGCCATAAGTGTTGCAGTGAAGTCTCAAACTTGCCAGATTATTAATGGTCTGCAGGAACGAGCCCTATACAAATTTATACTTAGCTGACCATATAAGACAGAGATTGATAATATATATATCTATCTATCTATCTCACTTCTTGATCTTTGAAGAGGAGTAGAGGTTTATCCTTTGTTTCCAGTTTAGGATTGGTTTCTGATTCCTTCTAAAGTCTTTTCTCTTACACTTTCAGTAGCCCCTTGCGTTTTAGTGGCATTATCACCTTGCTTGGGATGAAATGATAAAAAACCTGCCAGTAGCAAACAGAGATCAAATTCCATCAAAGAGTGTGTTCATGTCATACTATTACTTTGGAAAAGGCATGAATCCATCTCTCCCTTATCACTCTCTTGCCTATTTCTAAATCATGATGTGCGACTCCAAAACTACTCCAATATGCAGTTAGAAACTCTGCCCATTCTAACTATTACTTGGTTTGTATAAACCCCTTACTTGGGGTGAATTGATTTAAAAAGTAAAAAAAAAAATACTTCTAGTGATTCAATTTCTATTTGGCAGATTCATGATATATTTGGACCTGTACGAGAACCGTTTTATACAGTTCTTCTTGATAAGAAATACACTATGATTCCAATCGACACAGAGATATACTGTGCCCCAGAAGAAAAAGAATACACAAATTATGTATTTGTGAGTGATCTCAAAAAGTAAGTATAACTATTATTATTATATTGTATAGAACAGGGTAACCTCCAATTAGTGGGCTGCATGAGATATTGATTTTCATAAGGCTAGTCACCATACTAAAAAACACATTTAAGTTAATTTTTCATTGAAAGTGCTTCACTCATTTTTACTACAGAAAACCATACACAAAAGCATTATTCATTTATGACTGATTTTTTTTTTTTTCTTGTCATTAGGTGGAACATTCTAAACTATTAATATTCTTAGTATTTTCTTTCATTTTAATTTCTTTTGCTTTTATTATTAACATAAATATATATATATATATATATATGTATATATATATATATATATATGTATATATATATGTGAAAATATATAGAAAATAGGAAGGAACGGGTTAGGTAAATAATCCAAAGTCCCTTAGTATTTTAGTTATTATTTTTAAAAAATAGTGCTCGATACAAAAGTAGAGCATAAATATAATTATTTATTTAAAAATATGATTCCAAATCGCTACATAAGAGGTCTCATGTTTCAAAACAAGAGCCGAAAACTTCAATATAATCCTTTAAATTAAATTGAGTTGAAAGTAAAATGGGCTCTGTTCCATCTTCAAGTGAAAAATTTTTGTTGGAACCTATATATATATCTGAAATTTACTTGTTTTAAAATTGAAATCAAAATCCCCATGGTAACAGCTATGGTGAATTTTCTAAATTGGGTAGGCGAGTGTAGGGTGTTGATATTAAGTAGCGGTATAGAATATAAAGGTGTCAAGTTGGGAAAGGTGGGGGTGTCAAAAATGAAACGGAAGATGTATTGGCCATCGTAGATTTGCTTGTCTATGGAATTTATTTTTTATTTTATTTTATTATGAAAGGAATTTGAAATAATGAGAAACTTTATGTAACGATTTGGAATCATATTTTTAAATAAATAATTATATATATATATATATATATTTGTTTTTTATAAGATGAAAAATTGTCAAGCATTATTCATTTTTGACTATCATAATTTTTTTTTTTTTTTTTTTTTTTTAAATTAAAAACCAGTTTTCTTCAGGCCATCCATCTATGGTCATGACTTAACATAAATCATTTTTTGTGTTCACTGTTGAATTGGAATAATTATTTCTCAACTTGTTTGTGTAATTTAGCAAGAATTCAGAATTCTCTAAATCGTTGATTTGTAAATTAATCTTTATATTTCTTTTATTGTGTTTACTATGACTTGTTGTCTTTGGGTCCTTGTGGGTGAAAACTTGTTCAGATGTGGAGCAATTGTCATAACTTTTAAGGTCATTTTTTGTGTGTGTGGAAGTGGGGGTCTTCTTTTTTTTTATTCCTAATCAGATAATATTAGATTAAGTGTTTTCTCACCTTGCCAGGATTTTTACATTTTCCTTTCCTTAATTTATTTTTCCCTTTTCTTTCCAGTTTAAAGGGATCGGATGCTTCTTGGGAAAATGATGTAGAACCACCAGAGAAAGTAAGTTTTTTTTTGTTTTTTTTCCATTCAGCAGCATTCAATCATTTTGAGAAGAGTTATAATTCTAACTTCTTTGGATGATTGATCTCATTCTTTTTGTTTAAGATACCTTCTATCATTTTGAGAAGAGTCATTGTCATTCCAAGAGTTGTTCAGACTATTGATCTCATCCTTTTTATTTAAGATATCTTTTGATCTTAATATTATACTTGAGACTAATCCATGCTATGAACACCTTTATATTTACACAGAATTGTGTATTTGGGCAGCAATCCCTCTTTTGTATAAGTTTCATTAAAGATATTGGTCATACCACTACATGCCTATCTAGACAATTCACGTTACACCTACCAGACCATAGCTCAATTAGGTCTCCGTTAAACACACACAGAAACCTAAAAAAATCTATCCACAATAGTAGAAAATATAAGTATAATAGCCTCTGTCACATATTAAAAAAATAAAAAATTAAAGATAATGGAAGCCCTAATAATAAAGATGAAAAAGCCAATACTCAATAACATTGACTATAAACACAGCTACAACCATACTAACTGCATTTGGAAAATAAAAGATTCCTATAATTTCAGATGCATACATAAAAAACCCACACATTTAGTTAAAAATTAAAAAATTGCCCTTGATAATGTCTAAAAGAATAACCGAAAGTGCTCAGATATGCAGAAGTTTTGGACTGTTTTTACACACTTTATGTCCAGAAGACAAAACCCTTGTACAAACAAAAGAAAAATTAAATAAAAAGCTTAATTGCAGTACCTTGTCAGTTGTCTGTCTATATTTCTGAGAACATTTTTAAATTTTTTATTATTACATTTTTTACATTATTGGACTATTGTCCTCATCTTTGTTCCATATTTATTACAATGTTTTCATTTTAAATTGTACACTCTTGAAACCTTATTCAGGTGGTTGGACTTTATTAAAATTCTTTTTTTTATAAAATTATTTGGGATATTTTATAGTTCCACATGTACCGAATAAAAAATGTTCCATTTTTTAACGAAAAAATTTCATTTTTTTCTCCATTGCAATTTAACCAGGTATTGAACTCATGAAATATAAGGATACACATGGTACAGTGGAAATTTTTCATTGGTTAGATCCAGTGACAGGACACAAAAGTGCTTGAGTTCAAATATCTGGTTAACAAAGTGGAGAACTTCAATAAATTTGGAATTAACAGGAGATAACTGAAATCCATTAAACAATGAACATGGAATTAGAAAGTTACCCCAAAAGAATGGAATAAAGGTTTTTTTAAATATTGAAAAAAAAAAATGACCCATTTCCAAAATTCTAACCAAATGACCACATATCTTCAATTTTAACCAAAAAATGAAGAGAGTTGAAAACAGTTATTCAATTGTAAATATTTTGAATGAAAATTAATCTAAAGGACAATTATACTAAAAAAAATAATTATGAAAAAAACAAAAATTCTTTATTGCAATAAAAATGTAAAAAAAAAAGAGAATTTACACAAATGATAATTAGAAATTTAAAAAACAAATAAGATTAAAAAAACAAATTAGTAAGAAAAAATTTTTTTAACCTTAAGGTATATGATATGGCATGCAAATAATAAACTACTGAAGAAAGTTCAGTTTAAAGGACTATCTTTTTAATTTTTTAAAGTTTCCATTTATGTTAAAAGTTTTCTTGGACCTCTTGACATTTTTTTAACTGGCTATTTTCAATATGAATTTCTTGTCCTGTTTTTTCCAAAGAGTGTTAAAAATTTCCATTTTGTGGGATGATGGGATAAGAATTTACTTAAAAAGGGAATTATCCTTAATTTTGTACGTTTTTATTAGTTCTACCCATGTTTTAATTGGCTCTCAAAAGCAATTTATATATGTATTTCAAACATTGGGATTTCAAATAATTGTCATTTAATATAATTGTCCTTTCATTTATTTTCATTCAAACAATTTACAATTCAAATAAATGTTTTTTGAACAATTATTTTCAACCAATTTTCTCAATATGGATATCCTCAATTATGTGGGGAAGGGCTTCTTGGCCACATATGGATCTTTTCTGCACCTCCCTCATATATAAAATGTTCTTGTTCCCCATAATTTCTTATAAATACTATAAAATTAAAACTATTTAATAAATTCTTCATATATCCACAGTTCCTTGATTTTTCTGATGATGAACAAGAACGACGGACAAAGAAACATCACAAATGCAAAAATTCTGCAAACGAGGATTCCAGTGATGATTCCAATGACAAAAATGGTAAATCTCAACGCAAAAATAAGCCTCGTTCCAGGTAAGTCTGCTATGTATTTAGAGATTCTTGATAAAATACAAAGAACAATAAATGTAGTAGAACAATGGGGTAGTGTGGAATGTCAACATCTTGATTATGTCATTGTTTTCTCTTCGTGTTACATGTGCTATTCATTTTAGTTGTTGCTGCTGTTGGAAGTCCTCAAGTGATGTGGTTTCTGTTATTTAGTACAGTTCTTTATGATTCTGTATTGCCAGTTCACAACATTTGAAGAAGTGTGGTCTTTGCCAAAACCCACAAGCTTCACTCACTTACTTAAATTCTGTTACTGGATTTTGGGCCAGCTAGTTATCTGAATTGTTATTTTTACCAAAAGTGATTTATTTTTTAGGGGTTGTTACATTTCATTTTGTTCAGGGGCTAAAGCTTAAATTTTAATTAATTGACCAAACTCGGACGATTCCAGGTCATGACTCTCCTTCATCTCACAATTGTAATTCATGGTGACATTCAAGGCAGAATAATGCAATAGCTTGTAGATTCCTTTTGCACTGGGGATATTCAGTCTAGTTTGACAAAAAACATTGAATCAATAGCTTCATCTACCACATGAAAAGTTGGTTCTCTGTGTCGTGTCAGGAAGTTTTTCTTGTCTGAGTCCATCCTTCATATTTACAAAGCTACCAATTGTCCATGCATGGAATACTGTTGCCATATATGGTCTGGTGCCCCTGCTGTTCATCTCGAGGTTCTTGACAAAATCCAAAGACAGATATGCCATGTGATTGATCTTAACTTTGGGTCTTGACTCCAGTCACTCTCTCACTGACATAATATGGCTTCCCTTTGTTTTTTCTATAGATATTTTCATGGCGTCTGCTCTGACAAGCTATTTTTACTGGTGCTTCGACTGTATGAATTTAAGCATGCTACTAGGTTGGCATCTTGGTCCCATTTTTTTACTGTGAGAAACATTTATTTGTAAACCACCTCTTCTAATGGGAAAATTTAAATGTAATGTTAGTCGACATCTTCTGTTGCCTTGGTCCCTGTTAAAATTTTTAGCCTCCACCATTCTTCTTTTTATATTTTTTTTTTCTACCCCTCCCACAAAAATATTCTCAGTCTTTCTAATGTTAAAAACATCCTCCTCTGTAGCCCTTTGTGTGAACTAGTAGCATTCCTGCTTGGCTTGATTGCAGCATTTGTTTTTTAATTTTGTTCTTTTATTTTTATATCTCTCTTAATAAAAATGATTTTTCTTATAATCTTCACATTGGGAAAAATTTTGTAGCATCTTTTATTTATTGAATTGAAATGAGAAAATGATTAATCGAATATATATATATATATATATATATATATATATATATATATATATATATATATATATATTTAATTATTTTTTATAAAAAAATTCATAACATAAGTATGTTATAAAATCACTACAAAAATAGCCATTTTGTTTCAACACACTCTGTGTCTTATCAAGTGATGATGTTGAAAAGAAAATAAATGGTTTTAAAAGTTTCAGATTAATTAACGATCCTACACTAGGGGAAACATTGTTACAAAAGCTAGAATAACCAATCAAAAAAACGAAGTATAGAAAGATTCAAAAGCTTGACAACGAAAAATCATGCTATAATAGCTATTCAGATCTTTAAATACGTGTAATATTAAAAATAATTTATACTAACTAATAATTATAAAATTATATGATAAAATTTAATATTAAAATTAAAAACTGGCAATTTTAAAATCTAAATTTAATCACTATTAAGTTTAAAAACTACCAATAATACCAATTATATACTTTGATATTAGCTCCTATTACTTTTGTTGGTTATTGGAATTCATTCCGTATATACCAATTATATACTTTGATATATATATTAAATAATTACACATATACCTACATTTTGTATTGTAAGGTGGCCATTAGTAATTAAGAATAACTCAAGACTTCAAATTTAAAATATACATATATACTATATATATATATATATATATATATATATATATATATATATATATATATATATATATTGTTGTAGCATATCTTAATGATAATGTGTATGTCCCCATTCACATAAATACAGTAGTAAATACTGTATGTTGATCTGTAGTTGGAGACTCATTGTGGAATTCACTTGACTCACTTCTAACAGTTGACTACCACTTCTACGCACTGCTGGCGAATCTTATATGTGTTATTCTTGTCCTAAGTATTATCGTTCATTACCAACCTTCATGTGATTATTCTTTTCAGTAACCTACCCTTGGTTACAACAATATATATAAAAAGCTAAAATTGTTGGTAAAAAAATAATAATAATAATAATGTCGTTTTTGACGTTAAAAATAACGTCAAACAAAACATTATTTTTAATTTTTTTGCACCAACCTAATAAATAAAGAGACATGATCGATCATGTAAACATCCATGTGAGTAAATAGCTATTTAATCAGTGGTCTAGACAAAATGTAATTACACAGAGCTAAAAAAATATATATTAATAATTACACATATACCTACATTTTGTATTGTAAGGTGGCCATTAGTAATTAAGTATAACTCAATACTTCAATGTTAAGATATCTGTCTCTTGCTATTTCTCTCTCTGTCTTGTGATGTACAATGGCCGTTAATGATTAAGTATAACTCAAGATTTCAATGTTAAAATAAAACCATATTTAATTACAACCGCAAATAAATACTTAAGAAGAATAAAGAAGTAAGTCAACCAAAAATAATTAACCATTTCAGTGAATACCTTGTTGGTAGTGCGGCTCAGCTTAATATCCAGTAAATTCTAAATCAAAACCCAAATCCTCGACACACAATAGTTCACACTAATTCGACTGAATACTTCCACTCAACAGTGACTCAGTAATCACTGCAGTCAGTTGCCTGACACCGCTATTTATACACCTAGCGGAAAACATATTCATAATCATGTGTCACAGGTTGAACCTTTGTTGATTTTTACTCATTTTCAGTTTTATAAAGCACAGGTTTTTTCATGGTTAATCATTCATCAAAAAAAAAGGTTAAAACTGTCATCACGGTTTTTTTTTTTTTTGAAAAACAAAATTTACAAATTTCAGAAAGCAAGAAACATTGTATGTGGATTCAAATTTTAAATAATTATTTATATAATATCAGTTTAGTTATATGCATTATTTGATACATAATTGACAGACGATCATTTATATTTCAAAAAGTATTAACAAAATTAAAATTTTAATAATGCTGGAATCTCTATTAATTCTTTCTTTCTTTCTTTCTTTTTTCTTTCTTTTCTTTTTTTTTTTTTTTTTTTTTAAGAATTTTTCTTTTTTTTTTCAAATTTTTTTTTTTTTTTTTTTTTTTCTTTTTTCTTTCTTTCTTTTTTTTTCTTTCTTTCTTTAAAAAAATTTTTTTTTTTTTTATTTTGCTGATATTTTTTATTTTATTTTTTACAGCACAACTGGCACTTCTAACACAAGAAACTGGAAAAAAAGGGGTAGGTTTTTATTTAAAAAGAAAAAAGAATTGTTACTCATGCAGGTTTCTTTCTTTTTTTTTCTCCTCCTTTTTTTTTTTTATTCGATTAAATTTATTACTCTTATTTTTTATTTATAAACATCAAAAATTAAAAACATGGAAAATTTCGGTATATTATTTGAGTCATTCTGTATACTTATCAACCCATTACAGATTATTTAAAGCCTATAGGAAAATTAGCAACTCCCCATATGAGTCATAACAGAGGAACAAATAACAAAACAAATGAACAGTTTAAAAGGCATACTTTTATATAAATAATACATTATACAACGTGAATGAGAAGAGAGAATTGCTAAACATATTCCTTTAGCAGTTAATGTCATGGCATCGGGGTTGAAGTCCAAAATACATGTATTTGTTTGAAATTGATTGAAACACTTATCTGAAGTTGATCATATTCTTCTTGTCTGCTTGATGTATTATTCAGACTTGTTCTTTGGAGGAGGTTAAGACATGTCCATTCCCCAACTGTCTCTACTTTGGTGCCTAAATTTGGGTTTTATTATCAGATAAATGGCCTTTCAGGGCAGGGGCTTATCAATCAAGGGGAGATAACCTATATTTTTCATATAGAGAAAATATTTTTTTAGAGTGTAAATTTTTTTTTTCACAGAATAATGGTTTAGTGATAAAAGTCTTACTGATTAATCCATAACTGGGGGGGGGAGAAGAGGTGGATTCATACCTAATCCGAAATTGATAAACAAGAAATTATAATGTGGATATAAAGTGGGGGATCAATTATATATTACATTCAATATACAAACTCACCCTTTGCTTTGTGGCTAAAGTAGTTTCTATACATTTTTATTCCAGAGAAAGTAAATAAATCTAAAAGACATACCTGTGTACCTAATCAGTATTTGATAAACAAACAAGAAATTATAATGTGGATATAAAGTGTGGGATTTTTATATTACAATCTATATATAAACTGATCACTCACTTTATGACCACCTTATTTCTATACATTTATATTCAGAGTATGTAAATAAATCTAAAAGACATGTTTGTGTAACTAATCAGTATTTGATAAACAAACAAGAAATTATAATGTGGATATAAAGTGGGGGATCAAATCTATATTACAATCTATATATAAACTGATCACTCACTTTGCGACCACCTTAGTTTCTATACATTTATATTCCAGAGTATGTAAATAAATCTAAAAGACATGACTGTGTACCTAATCAGTATTTGATAAACAAACAAGAAATTATAATGTGGATATAAAGTGGGGGATCAAATCTATATTACAATCTATATATAAACTGATTGGGGATGACCATTTTAGTTTCTATACATTTATATTCAGAGTATGTAAATAAATCTAAAAGACATGACTGTGTACCTAATCAGTATTTGATAAACAAACAAGAAATTATAATGTGGATTTGTGTTGGGGAATCAAATCTATAAAATTTCTATATATAAATGATCACTCACTTTTATTTTTAAAATACATTTATATTCCAGAAATGTAAATAAATCTAAAAGACATGTTTGTGTAACTAATCAGTATTTGTAATTAAAAGAAAGAAAAAAACTTGTAATTCCAACAAATGATTTATTTTTTTATGGAAATATTTTGGCTAGCAGTTGCCAGTCTTAGTCACTTCTTAATTTGAGTAAAACAGTAAAAAGAAGTTCAAAATGCTTAAAAATTTAAATCAAGGAAAACAAACTGAGTCAAAGCATATAAAAAAAAAAAAAAAATTTTTTTTTTTTTTTTTTTTTTTCTCCATATCATATTTTTCTTTGGAGCAAAGATGTCCAGACAGGATAGAGTTGTGCTGCATCTATCCTATTGCATGCATTTTTTGTAGTTGCTATTACCATTTGTTCAGCTACTCTCATTGATTGAAATGATTTTGGTCCGTCAATTTTATTTCCAGATAGTCAGTCTTTTCTGTGACCTTCTGTAATGGCATGTAATGCATTTAAATTTTTTTTTTTTTTTTTTTTTCATTTCATTTTAAAATTACCTTATCACAAAGTCTTCGATGTTCATCCAGCTGTTCTTTCAATGATCTTGAAGTCATGCCCACATAACTTGTTGAGCAGTTCATGCAGTTAATTTTGTTGATCAGATTGCCATTACTTGTAACTGCACTTTCATCTTTTAATCTGATGAGTGTCATTCCTATTGTGTTGAAAGAGGAGAATACAACTTGTATATCTATCTGTTTTAAAATTCGTTTAATAGCTTCTGATTAATAAAATTGGTTGAAGAGAATAATGGTTTAGTGATACAAGTCTTACTAATTAACCCAACAGTTTTTTTTACTTTAAACGTAATTATTAGTAGATGCTTGTATTTGAGTAGGAACTCTAATTATATATTAAACAGTATATTTATTTTCACCTACCAGCCTGAAATCTCATTAAAAAAAATCTGTCCAATTAAAAAAAATCCATGCTGAAAAATTCTCTTTGTCTACATTTAGGTATGAAATTGGGCAGATATGAAAAACATCAAGAAATCTATGGCAGGTGAAATTTTATATTCTAGTGTAAAGCAGAGTTATTATATGCTTTTCTTATTCTAGTGAAAACTAGACCTATGTCACCATAAAAAGAATAAATGTCCGTACCAGAAACTCAAGTTGTTGTATACTTGGATTTTCTTTGTTTACATAGTGAACACATGCCTGCATAAAAAAAAAAAAAAAAAAAAATCACAAATACATTACATTTTAAGATAGATCCATAAATCTATCTTGTCTAAGAGAAGGAAAAACGAGCAGGATAGGCCTTGCGTGGCATCTGATCTAAGAGAAGGAAAAACTCTGAATCCTGGAAAGAGTTGGGCTTCTGTCAGGCCATCTTTGCTCAGGAAACACCATTGCTACTGTTGCGTCAGTATATGTTGTACCTCTATGAACCTAGAGGGTTCAGTCAGTTCAGTTATGTGCCATGCGTGATACATGCTTAGGCGATCATGTATCTTTCGATACATGACTGACAAGGCAGGTTGCCATTATTTTCTGCGGTAGACCAGTTGCTATCCAAGGCTATAGAACCTGGTCTGTCCTGCTATTTACCTATACCTGTGGGGAGAAGAGGAGGGTTCATACCTTTCCCAAGGGTATTAGCACATAAGTGAATATCAGTCAGTTATGTGCCATGCATGATACACACTTAGGCAATCATGTATCTTTCAATACATGACTGACAAGGCAAAGTTTTTCCTGCAATAGGTTGCCATTTATTTCTGTGGTAGACCAGTTGCTATCCAAGGCTATAGAGCCCGGTCTGTCCTGCTATTTATCAATAGCTAGGAGGAGAAGAGAATTCATACCTTTCCCAAGAGTCAGTCAGTTATGTGCCATACGTGATACACACTTGGGCAATCATGTATCTTTCAATAAATGACTGACAAGGCAGATTTTTTTGCCACAGTGGGTTGCCATTACTTTCTGTAGTAGACCAGTTGCCATTCAAGGCTATAAAATCTGGTCTTCCCTGCTATTTACCCATAGCTGGGGTGGGGAGAAGAAGAGGATTCATACTTTTCCCAAGGGTATTAGCACGTAAGTAATGGATTCAACTGCAACCCAATTCCTCAATCTGAGCCACTATCCATAACTCCACTGTGCCTCCTCTAGTGGTCTACAGGTTTAAAAAAAAATATTTTTAATATTTATTTAACTAACTCTTTCTTTTTTTTTTTTTTTTTTTTAACAGACCAGAAGAGAGCTATCGATTTACTGACTTTCTTGAGTGCAAAGGAAACGTCACAGAAATCTATGTTTGCATGCAGTACTACATGGCCGCCAAGCAACGAACAGGGGAGTTTTAACAGTTGGCCCCCACCGCCTCCTCCACCACCGTCGCTGCCGCCGCCACCTCCACCACCGCCACCGCCACCACCTCCCCCACCGCCACCATATCCGTATTCACAACCAAATAATCCTGTCTTTCAGGAAGGGTGCAATCAACTGAACCAGATGACGTGGCCCCCAAACTATTCACAACCCAATTCTCCAGCGGACATGATGTCTCCTTTCAGACCACCTTGGAATTTTCAACAGAGGCCATCAACTATGGGTCCTTATCCAGGAGCCTTTAACTATCCTCAAAGTGGGAATTCATTTGTCCCACCCCCCTCCCAACCAACCATGGTTTCAAGGACCACAAAGACTGCCTCCTGGCTCTCAAGGGCCACCAAGGCCCCATGGTCCATATAACTACATGAGGAACCCTCCTCACAGATTCAGTCAGCCACCACAATTTCCTGGAATGTTTCCTTGAAGTGGAAATTTTGGTAAATATTCTTTAAGAAATAAAAAAAAAAACATTTGAATCTACTGACATGGATTCAGGAAAAAATGTTGTCAAATTTTTGAAATGTTAAAAGAATTTCAGTTTAAGTCCAGACCCCCAGATTGAAGGGACAGAATTTTGTAGTTTTACTCCTAATTTTAAATTTGAAAAGAAATAACATTTAAGTTATCCAACCAGTACGGTATACTGCATTTGAAAACTCCTCAGCTGTATATTTCATAAGTAATATGTTTGCATTAATTTTGACTCGTTCACAACATTGTCTTTTTCTTTTTTTTTTGTTTGTTTTTTTGTGTTAACTTGAAATACAGGAGAGTATTTAATTTAATAGCAGAAATGAGTGCATTTTATTTTTTTATAAAGCCTGATGAAAAAGAATGAATTTATTTTTTTATTTAAAGATATTTTTAATAATATACAAGACTGGATAACCTGTTACCAAACACAGTTGTGACTCTGTCACCAATTGATTAAATGATGATGAGGTGCTTTCATTTTCTCCAAATTTAATAAATGGCAAGGTACAAATGAAAGCAGAGGTACTTCTTTTTTCTAACCTGGAAGCAAGAAGAATATCCAATTTAGAAGTAGAAGTGGGTAACTTTTTTTCTCGTTATTTTTTTTTTTTTTGTTTTTTTTTTTTTTTTTTTTTTTTTTTTTTTTTTACATTTTTTTTTGTTTTACATGATTTTTTTTTTTTTATTTATTTTTCTTAAAACTTTTTTTTTTCTTTTTTTTCACAAACAAGAAAAAAAAATTTTCTTTTTCTCTTACTTTTCTCTTGTGAAAAAAAAATTTTTACAAAATTCTCTTTTTCTTTTTTTCTCTTTTTTACATTTTCTCTCTTTCTCTTTTTTCTCTTTTTCTTTCTCTCTCTTTTTTTTTTTTTTTTTTCTCTTTCTCTCTCTCTCTTTTTCTTTTTTTTGTCTTTTTTTTCTTTTTCTTTCTCTTTTTCTCTTTCTCTCTTTCTTTTTTTTTTTCTCTCTCTCTCTCTCTCTTTTTTCTCTTCTCTTTTCTCTCTTTTTCTCTTTCTCTCTATTTTCTCTCTCTCTCTCTTTTCTCTTTCTCTCTCTCTCTCTTTTTCTCTTTTCTCTCTCTCTTTTTTTTTTTTCTCTCTTTTCTTTTTTTTCTCTCTCTCTTTTTTCTTTTTCTCTCTCTTTTTTTTTCTCTCTCTTTCTCTCTTTTTCTCTCTCTTTTTTCTTTCTTTTTCTCTCAGTTCTCTTTCTCTCTCTTTTTTTTCAAAAAAGAGTTTTCTCTCTCTCTCTTTTTCTCTCTCTCTCTTTTTCTCTCTCTCTCTCTCTCTTTCTTTCTCTGTCTCTCTCTTTTTTTTTCCAAAGATCATTTATTGTCTATTTTTTTTTTTTTAAAATATTTTATCATGTGAATATGATACCAAATAAGCCATCTGCAAACACAGCTGCAACTCTACACTTACCTCTCAAATAAATAGGGACACAGCGAGCCACAAGAGAGAGGTGATGTGAGTGCTTTCATTTTTTGAAAAATTCAATAACTGGAGTAAAGGCTTTCAGATAAAAGGGGGCAAGTATTTTTTTTTTTTTTTCTAAAGAAAGAAGTAATTAAAACATATCTAGGTGAATGAGATTTCTAAGAAAATATCATCTTTAACCAAGATGAATAAACATTCATTTTTTATTTGCTGACCGACATAGAATTTTAATAAACAGAAGAGGAGATTCTTAATTTTAATCAGTACAAGCCCCTCCTCATTTATTCAAGAGGCAACTGTACTGACTTGAAGTGTGGAAGAAGTTCCAAAATGATTCTACCTGGGGACTGGGATCTGTCCTCTGACAGCTTGTTGCATTCAGTTGTGTTAGAGTACTCTTGAACAATCAACAAGATTAAAATGAAAAATTTATAAAATGCTGAAGGTGTTTAAGCAGTATATATTTTTTATATTACTTCTTTAAGACAGAAAAGATGATATTTTATAAAAACCCAATGAACCGAACGTGAGCAACGATAGAGATATAGAGAAAACGGAAAGGAAACTAATACTTAACATCAGAAAGAGACAGTGAGATTTCTGGGGCACATAATGAGGAAGGAGGGCTTGGAAAATCTAACACTCACAGGATAGATTGAAGACAAGAGAGGCAGATGAATCATTCATACAAAAAGTAAATTAGTAAAAAAACATATTTCAATTTATTTCTCTTGTGGACCAAGGTTTGTTTTCAATTAATACTCAGCTTTCTCAGTTATCCAAGTGGAATTAAATTGATAAATTCATTCAGAATTTCAAACTCACTTTTGACTGCATTGAAGAGTGGATCCTATGACTGTCATGAGGTTCATGCTAAGTCTCAAAAAAAAAAGCCCTATATAAAATTTGCTTTTTTTATCCATGAAGTTGAATGTGTTAAAATTATCAATTTGATATTAAGTCACCTTCCCACAACCACAAAGTTGCCTCTCTCTGCCTTTTCTTTAAATACTTCCACGGCAACTGTTCAGATGATCTCTTCGCCTTAGTACCTAGACTTTATGAATTTAAGTGCATTACTAGACTCACAAATATATTTTTCAAACTCTTGGCTTTTGAATGTCACAATAAGTTCTTATTTAACAATTTCTTTCCAAACCAAACTTGTGTTTGTGGAACTTCCTTCCAGCTCCATGCTTTCTAGTCAACTTTAAAATTTAAACGTAATATCAATCGCTTTCTACCGTCCTCCTGATTACACTTCTTTTGTTCTTGCTCCTTAGTAAAACTTCTGTTTTCCAGTTCTTCCACACCCAATAATCACATGTGTCTTAGTGGCTTTATTGCCTTAGAATAAAGTCAACTAAGAAAAAAAATGTAAAATTATGATAAAATGGGGAAAAAAGTTTGTGCAATGCTTTTTGTCGTTTAGTGATGTTTACGTTAATGTGATTACATATGTGCATGGATAAGAGGGGCCACTTAAATTTAAAATATTTTTTTTTAAATATGTTTTGGTCATTAGATCATCCACAGTAAATTTATGTCCACATTCTTACAACATATCAGATTTTTACTACTGTGAAGTCAACTAAATAATAACAAAAGTGATAAATACAAACAAAGAGAAACTAAAATAAATCGTCTGGACTATGAAAAAAAAACATTAAAAAAAAATAAATTTAAATTAAAATTCAAACTTCTCCCCTTCATGCGCATGTGTACTCATATCAATATAAACACTACATTCCTTATCGCCACCAGTTTTAAAGTTTACAGCTAAGACCCACCATTATACGCACATTGTAGCAAACCAACTTCATTCCCTTTGTATTCCATTGGTGAGATTGGCCTGGGTAAGACGATAAACTAAAATTTTAGCAAGGCCTCTGATCAAGAGATTTTGAGAAGCATGCAACCACCTCTTAATTGCTGGCGTTCCCAAGTCCACCCTGACCTGGGGTGGTAGTACCTGTTAGGGTCCCAGCTATGGGCAAATAGTTAAACCCCCAAACTGGGGTCAAAACACTATGAAAGTGAAAAAATAGATTTTAATACCAGAAATTTATTACCAGCAATACATTTTTGAAGAAAAAAAATGAATTGTTTTTAAAAAAAAATCCATAAAGCATTAAACCATTGAGGTCGATAAATGTAAAACAAACCAAAAAAAACCATTCGTGAGATACATTAAGTTCCACTCAGAAGCTTTACAACATTAACCACTGCTTTATGAAACCCAGTCTTGGGTTAATTGTTATTTTTTGCTATATATCCAAATAAAATTAATGCTTCCAACTCTACAAAAATAAGGGTTTTTAGGCCTTATGTAGAACAATTCAAGAGGACTCTTCTGCAATAAGTTACACCAGATCTGATTTTGCCTGAAACATTTGATACATGAATGAACTGGTCAACATAACAGCCTTTTTGATTTTCACCCAGTCATGGTGTTACATGATGATGATGAACTCTTACAACAATTATCTATGATGCAAAAAAAAAATTCCATTCTATTTCCATGGAAAGTTTCAGACGAGCAACCATTCCATATTTTCCAGCAATCCTAACCTTCACGATTAAGACCCACCCATGCCACGCCCATTGTAGTGAACCACCCTCATTGAAAACAAATTCCACTGATGAGATGTTAAGTTCCAATCGAAACCAACTCCCAAGAGGATGCTACAATTTTAACGTTTCAAGTCTTGGGTTAATTATATTTTTCCACATATCCAAATGAGCTGTGCCTCTAACTCTGCAACCCTCTACCACGAGTGTTTTCTCGAGCCTTTTTTTGTTGAACATCATTATAAAAAAAAATCTTTTTGAGACATAGCTCCTAAAGGATAAAATTTTTTATTTTAAATAAAAAAAAAAAAATTATTCCTTTGAAAAAAAATAAAAAGAAAAAAAACTTTTCTGGTACAAACAAATTTATATATCATTTTTCCAAATACAAGCTCACATAAATGTTATGGTACCTATTCCATTGTAATAGACTCTCCCACAGATAATAAGTAGGAGTAGCAGTGGCAAGTCCAATTAAATTTTGTTGAGCTTTCAGTCGTTATCGGACATTGAAGTACCAACCATCACAACTAGATTTTATGCAAATTAACTCTTATTTCCAAGTTTTTAATGTTTTATAACAAATTAACCTAATTTTTTTTATTTAAATGCAAGCCTCCACTGAAAAAAAACTTTATAAAACGACAATAAACAAACACAAAAACTTAATTTCTGATTGAGGAAGTATTTTTAATCTTAATATTTTTTGAACAAATGGAGCTTTCCTTCCAAGAGGTTTTCAAACATCTGAACTCAGTTGCTAAGAATTTATTTAGTATTTTTTTTCGCTGCAAACATGGATAAATGTACCTGCAATTAGACATAGTGTGAAAAGGATTTTTTTTTCCCATTTAAATTTTCATTTTTAATTACATTTCATTTTTCGGCAATGTTTATTGTTTTAAAAATAGTGATGATTAGAATTGGAATAAAACCTAAACATATTAAGGTGAATTTATACATTTCTTTTGTTATTCTTGAGAATTTAGAAAAAAATTATTAAACTCTATTTATTTATTATATTTTTTATTTACAAGAATAATTTTATGTTTACAACATTCTATGAACTAATGCAATGCAATATTTATCATTTACCAATTTATCTATATAATAAATGTGAATGTCAGTGTGTCACTGTGTAACCCTTTTTCAATTAAAGGGACACAACTCTAACTTTCAGTAGCTCACGTTACAGAAATTTAAAATTTCCAATTTTTCATTACTGAAATTCCAGATTTTTTGGCAATTTTTTTTTGATGTGATTTTTTTGGCAAAAATTTTTTTTTTTTGTATGGTAATTTTTTATAACTTGGAAATAAATTTTGGAATAATCAAAATTAATTGCAAAATCCAGCAAAAAGTCATCCATGAAATAAAATAATTGTTTGTAAAAAGTAAGGACCTATATACATCAAATTTGTCTTTAAATTAAATGGTGGCAGAAGAATTACTATTGAAAAAGGTCAATTTTAAATATTAATGCAATACTTAAATGCAGCGATCAATTTTGAGTTCTTCTGTAGTTTATTGTTGCCTATCATATAGTTTTTGTTTATGCCTGACAAAAAGAAATTATATTTGACAGAGGACCAGGCAGCAATCAAAAGAAAACAATGCTGCAATGAGGAATAGAAAGTGTCATGTAAATAAAAACCCAGATCAATTATTTTATTTATTTATTTCCATTATTGAAAATATGCAAAGAATTTTAGGGACCCTCAAATCTTAACAAATACAATACAAAAAGGCCTAATTGACAAAGCCCAAATATTTATCATTTACCAATTTATAAAGAAATAAATCTTAAAACAATTTTTTATTCCTAAATTTCTAAACATTTACTAAATTATTAAAATATGTGAATCAACTATAATGAAATCTTTATTATTTACCATTTTATAAAGTTTGAATCAAATGGCCATTAGCCAATGTTTTGCCAACCATTCCAATAAATAATATACTAGTGTAAATAAACAATATATAAATAGTGTTTATTATTTCTGTTGTCAATTCTCAAAAACAAAGAAAATGTATAAATTCACTTTCATATGTTATGGTTTTATAACAATTCTAATCATTGATTTTTAGAATAAACATGGCCAAGGAGTGAAGGTAGTTAAAATAATAATGGTGTCAAAGGAAAAATTGAAGTCGTCTGACACCAGTATTGTTCAACGGCGTTACTATAGTTGTATCTGCGATTACAAAGTCTTTACTACAACAAGCATTACGAAAGTGACAACGAGTGTTTGTTGGCATCACAAAAGTGGCAATGTGTGTTTGTTGACATCACAAAAAATCTCAAATACAAAAAAAAATGTATAAATTCAATTCACTTTCCTCACA